AAAAAAAAAAGATTTTCTCTCTCTCCTTTAAAAAAATATTTACTATTTAGGTATCATTGGACACAATACCTTTTTATTTTATTTATTTTTAAATTTTATTTATTTTTATGTGGTGCTGAGGATTGAACCCAGGGCCTTGCTAGGCAAGTACTCTACTGCTGAGCCACAACCCCAGTCCCAGAGAAACTAATTTTTTAACCAAGTTACATACAGCTAATATGTGAGAGCAAAAGCTGTCTATGCTCTTTAGGAAACTACTAGTGTCACAGATATACTTGAACTGCGAAAAGGAAGTACTTTGGGGAAATTAATTTATAATTAAAACATAGTTCACATTTGTAACAACATAAATAATTTACAAAAACTTATCCTGAGAAAATATGACAGCATCATTGCTGCCTTATACTTGCTCAAAGAGTACAATTTATTGGAAAGAATGCATTTTAACCACCTATAATTTTTTTCTATAATAAATTTAAGTTATTTCAGTAGCTCAAAGATTTATTAATTTAAACCAGAAGAAACCCTAAATTATTGTCAACTGACAATGTCATTTCTATTTCTCTATCATCTGTGTCTCCCCCCAACCATTAAAAATATTATAAAATAGGGGTAAAAATTTTACTTTTAAGATGTGTGAAGCTTTTTTTTGGGGTGGGGTGGGGTGGGATGGGATGGGGCTGGGGATTGAACCCAGGGTACTCTATTACTGAGTTACATTCTCAGTCTTTTTTAGTTTGAGACAGTCTCTTTAAGTTGCCCAGGCTAGACTAGGAACTTGTGATCGTTCTGCCTCAGCCTCCCTAGTCATTGAGATTATAGGCATATGACACAGTGCCCAGCACAAGATGTGTATTAGCTTTAGCAGGAACAATGCTGGCACCTGCAGACCTGGTGATACCCCACAAAAATGGTGTGTCAATGCAATCATCACCATGAACTTTTTCCATGCTTTCACTATATATAGATGCTGTTTCATGTGCTTTTACATAGACTTCTCAATATCCTTACCTGTCAGATATTATGATACCCCTCTTTCACAGATGAGGACACTGAATAAAGAGGTTTCTCAACATCACAAAGCTAGGACTCAAACCAGGGAATCTGACTGCAGAACCAATGTTTTTAAACATTGTGCTCTCTAATTCTAGCCAATGTGAACATTTTGACCAAGCAAGGACTGGTATTTTTCCTATGTAAAATGTTTTTGGAAACATCTGCTCAGGGCTAACAATTATAAAAATAACATTCCTTTTGCTTGTTTACACATGGTATCTCCCTGATCCTCAAACTCTGATCCATGGGAAAAAAAAGTCCCACCAACTGGTTGAGTCTGTTTCCCACACCCTTCCCTCTGGTGGTGTCCTTCCAAGGTCTGCCTGGTTGTGATCCAGCCCATCAGTCTTCTCACCCATCTTTCACGTTTCTGTTGATCAATCAACCTGCCTCACAGTAGGCCCCATTCTCACTTTTCTTCTGCCTATTGGGTTTGGGGGCTGTACCCAAAAGAAAACAAAAACAAAAATTTCTTATTTTTTAAGTCTACATATTCCACTGAGAACAATTACATACCTTCTCAGGAATTAGTTGTTCTTTTATTTTCTCTCGGAACCTCTTACCTGCTTTTCATGTACCAACCCCTTTTTGTGTCTAAGTGAAGATTTCTGATTCCTTCTCTTTGAATGATCTGATTTCATTCTACCAACCAATTTCAACCTCTATTTCTTTTAAATTTTCATTGTGAAGAGATATGATGCCACTTTAAATGCTTTGTCCAATCATTAAATTGCCACCTACCCAAGTGTGAAACTCACACATCAAAGAAATGTCTAGCTCTGTTTAGATCATTATTTATAGACACTTAAATATTTGAATAAGTTAATACTTCTATTAATTTTTGTGTTAATAACTTAAGAGACAACTGAATACTCCTATGTCTAGAGTTTTCTCAGCTTTATGAGGTTGTAATCAAGGTGCCTTGCCTTGACAGACTGGGCCAGAGAGACCATGGAAGGAGAGCTCTCTCTGCTATGGGCTCGTGAACCTGCTTTGGATCTGCAATGGCTGTTCCTCAATAACTGACACTGATGCAAAGTGACAGAATCCTCACTCTGTACCTGGCATAGGCATCTCCCTAGTCTAAAAGCAAACACTGCTCCTAGCATTAAGATGCAATAGTGTATAAAAGCTGAGCACAGAATACAGTAGTTCTCACTTATCCCAAGGGAATGGGTTCTAAGACCCCCAGTGGATGCCTGAAACTGCAGATAGTACTGAACCCCATGTATACTAATCTTTTCCAATACATACCAATGATAAAGTTTAATTTATAAAGAGATTAACAATTAAATAAAATGATCATAATAATAAAATTATGTGAATGTGGTCCCTCTCAAAAATACCTTATTGTACTATTCTTGTAAATCTTGGTTGACCACAGGTAGCTGGAACTACAGTAGAGTGAAACCATAGATAAGGGCAATTACTGTATGTGGGTTGCTTTATATTACATTCACACACAGTAGGTTATGCCTATGAATTTTTAAAGTTCAAAAAGTTTTCTTATAAACTATATAATCATTTTAAAAAAAAGACTACACATGGTCTGTTTGCTTAATTTCCAAAGAGGAACTGATAAAAAGAGATTGATTAAGCTAAGTTACTTAGGGTGTCTGCAGGCCAGGACTCAGGTGTTTACATTGTGTTTAAGTTTCATTCTTTCTTACTAAAAAATGCTAAAAATGTTAATCAGTTAAAGTCACTTTGCTTTTGCTCTTCCAACTCAATTTTATCCCTCCCCTTTTAGGAACTAAAAGCTATACCTCAGATCCTTGCAGCTCCCCACCCTTTCTTTCTCTTCCAGCATGTTCCATAGGTTAGGGCCCTGGCTTCTACCCACAGCTGAGGTTAGGCAACCTATACTTCCTCTTCAAGCATTTCTTGACTTTACTATATTCAGGTCTTTTTTCTCCTCCACTCCAAAGAAATGTTGCTTTTCAAAATCAATCAGTTCCTCATTGCCAAATCCAATGTTTATGCCAAATCCCATGTTTAATTCCATCTATGTCTCAACAGAACTCTGAGCTGCAGTTAAGTCAAGCCCTCCTCTGAGAAGCACATTCTCCACATGGTCTCCAGGATCTCTTTCTCTAGTTCCTTCCCTTCCTTCAGTGACCACTTTCTCTCTTTGCCTCCTTCTATTTCCAGTCTTCAAAGCTTTTCTTTTCTCATGTGTTTACATGCTAGTGACCTCACTAAGACACAGGGGCTTGAAATATGATGTATGCAGTGACAATACCCACATTTGGTTTTCTAGCCTGAACTTCCTTCCTAAACAGATACCAGGTTTGTATGCCCACCTGGCTACTTGACATCTCTCCTTGGCTATCCACAGCTATCAAATGACCTCTACTTCTGTCTTAGTTCTTTATGCCAAAGACAGTGAATCTAACCTCCATTCCTTCAGTGCTCAGGCTAAAGGCTGCAGTGTTATTTTTGACTCATACCTGACCATCCAATCCATCAATAAATCTTGTTGGTATTTTTCAGTATGTGGAACTTGACCTGTCCTTACTTCTTCCACCTTTTCTAAGTCTAAGCCACCATCTCTCTTCTGAACTACTGTGGTAATGCTCTGTGTTTTTTTGTTTTGTTTTTCCCTTCAAGTGGCACTGGGAATTGGATCCAGGGGTGTTCTAACATACCTCCAGCCTTCTGAGACAATATCTTGCTAAATTGCTGAGGGTGGCCTTGAACTGGTTATCCTCCTGCCTCAGCCTCCAGAATCACTGGGATTATAGGCATATGCCAAGGCTGCTCTTCTAGTTGTTTTCACCCTAATCTCAATCCAGCAGCCATAATAAACCTTTTAAAAGGGACTTCAGATAATATCACTCTGTGGCTGAAAAACTCTCCAAGAGCTTTTCATCTCGCTTGGAAAAAAAAAACTCCAGTCCCTCCACTGCAGAAGGAGCTTCAGATTTCACCTCCTATCAACAACCCTTCATTCCCCTCCCTTACTCCTTTCCTGCAACAGTGCCTATGTGAGGATGGAGGACAAGAAATATTTTTAGCTGCAACTCCAATTTCCTCTTCACTTGTCCTTTTATTTTATTTGATTCTTGGCTTTAATGTTATTTGAGCAGAGGACACTTTCCTATCCAATATTCTCTTTCCCTTTCTTGCTTTATATCTTCTTGGTATCAGTTGCTGTATGATTACTCTTTCTTATTACTTTTTCATTTATCATTATTTTTTATCTTCTCTTTTGATAAGAATGTACAGTAAATGAAAGAAGGGGCTTTGCTTGTTCACTGTGGTATATGGAGCATAGAGTTCAGTGCGCTGCAGTTAAATAGGTGGGGGGCTTAATCAAATCTGTTGAAATAATACATAAGTGAAATAGCTGAAAAGGAAAGAGTGGAGGAGTGTAGGCTATTATTTTCCTTTTCTTCCTTTGGTGCACAGCAAACAATCTCTATTAAGAATACATGGCTGGCCAGATGGTGGCAATTTTAAAGCAGAAATAAAAAACATGGGAGGGGAACAATTAACTGATCACTGTGTTTCTTACTGGGGTGGAGGGAGAGGTTAAGAATCACCTGGAGCATTCAAAAAATACACAGGCCCATGCTGAATCACTGAAGAATCATACTTAGGAAATGAAAGCGAGGGAAAGCAAGTRTATTTCTGAAAGTTTCCTCAAAGGATTCGGATGTCTGGTCCCTGTTTAAACCACTTAGTCAAAGGAAGAGTCTCAAAAGGCATGTGGTAAAATACGCAGTAAATAAAATAACATACATTTGTTTTTTTAAAACCCACATACCTGACTGGGGACTCAAAAATATTGTTGTTTTTTGTTTCTTTTTGTCTTCATGTAAAAGCACTGCCTAAAAAATGAAATAGACTGGTTTACAAAAGAGAAAGGAAGAGTGTCTGAAACAGCCTTAAAAATGAAACCATTTCCAAGGAGAGCTGGAGTTAGGCACGTGGGTGGCAGAATTTTGCAAGTTAATTGGAAAGACAGACACACATGCAGGAGTACTTCAATAAGGACCTGCWGTCTGGTGCCCCGAAAACCTCGCCACACAGTGCACATGCACACACATGGCGCAGAGGCTGGGAGCAAGGAAGGTTAGTTAGCCAGGAGGAAGGAAGGCCCAGAGCTCAGGAAGTGTTCCATGAATAAAAAGCATGGCTTTGAGCTAGGTTTACCTGAACAAATGTACCAGCTGGTCTCAAAGGGCTAGGTGAAGGGGATCCAAACACACAATCTGACTTAGTTATACCTAAGGAAGAAAGTGGCATTTTTTTTTTTCCTACTTTAAGTTGAAAGCAGTAGGATTTTTTTCCCCAAACTTTCGCAGAGAGACTTTTCGGCTGATGTGTGACAGAAACTCACTCAGTATATTGCATGGACAACATAATAATTCATTTGAAGAAATGAAGAGGGAATAGCATAATTTTTAGATAGGCAGAAGCTGATTATTTTTCATTGCTACCAAAGGAAATCCACCATATCCCTCTCTTCCTATCTCTCCTCTTATCACATGATGACTGCTTAATGTGTAAATATTGCATTCTGAGGAAACCGAGTTTCTAGCTAAGAGCCTGTCCTGAGGTTTGCTACCACTGCCACCACAATGTCTTCTACCTCTATCTGATCTGCTACTGCCCTCTCAGGTTTTGATTTTCTTGTTTTGACAGCTGTGCTAAGTGAACAACTTAAGATCTGCTACTAGAAAGAAGGAATCCATTAAAGTTGGGGGAAATTCATCACTTTGTCGTACTGAAGAGGAGCACAATGATAACCTGCCATGGGGATGTTCATAAACACGGAACTTGAATTTTTATAAAGGGTGGTCTATAAAAACTATTTTGGTTAAAACCATATTCAATCTTTTTTAAAAAAAATTCTATTAGTTATTGATGAACCTTTATTCACTTATTTGTTTATATGCTGTGCTGAGAATCGAACCCAGTGCCTCACACATGCTAGGCAAGTGATCTACCACTGAGCCACAATCCCAGCCCCTTAATCTTATCTTTACTAATTTATAGTTTTCTCACCCATAAAATGGAGATATTAGCACCACAGAAAATAATGGGGCTATTGTGAAAGTAAAATTAGATTATCCATGTAAAGTACTTAAAATAGTGCCTGACCCAGAGTAAATGGACAATGAATGTGCCCTTATTCTAATTTCTTTTAATTATGCTTTACTCTTATAAAGGAAAATCACATTATTCTGGTGTATGATCTAAGCTGGGTCAAAGTTTTAAGGTCCTCAGAAGTGGGGCAAGTCTAATTTTGGTTATGTGAGCCAGCTGAAGCTGTTATCACACCATATATATTTCAGCCCTATTTTGAAAAAAAAAATAAAGAAAATTTTTGAACACATTTTTTTCCTAATAAAACTACTTAAAAAAATAAGAATGGGTGGCTTAAGAACTGTCTCTCTTAAGTAACAAGATATTGCTATATTGTTGAATATCATATAATAAAATGGAAGAGAGACAAAGATGCTCCAAAAACTACAAACACCACAGTAATTTTAAGAAAACTATAAAGCAGTGTTAGCTTTTATATGCTGTCTACTAACATAAACAATTGAGAATAGAAACTGTCGTAATAAAAAACTATTTCCCAGCGTTTCTTTTCTATCCTTATGAAATTGCATCCACTGGCACAGGTCTGTTCTAAGAAACAAAATGAAGAGTGTACAAATCGCCTTGTAAATCAACTTATTTTATAAATAAGTTGTAAATAACTTATTTTGCACATATAAGATACACTTATTCTTAATAATAGTCTGTTAAAAAAGTGTCAACAGTGGACACCTTACCCATTTAATAAAAATGGCCAATTTGTATCCAGCAACTCAAAAGGGCAAAATTTGTGAATGAATTTTGTGTGTGTGTGTGTGTGTGTGTRTTTAACACACAGTCTTGCTATAATACCCAGGCTGGCTTTAAACTCCTTGACTAAAGTGATCCTCCTGCCTCAGTCTTCTGAGTAGCTTGGACTACAGTATATGCCACCATTGCACCTGGATTAGATTTGTGTATGATTTTTGAACTACTGCCTGAATATGTATCTCTTCCACATCCTAAGAATAATCATACTCATTTGTCAAAATTACCAAAATGATAAGATCTAAAGATAAATTCCTCTATAATTCCCCTTAGCAAATATAACCATTGCTGACTGTGTAGTATATTCCCTTCTGTTCCCATTTCTATGCATGTGCTTATTTATATATGAACAAAAATACAAGTGGCTCACCTATATCCAGACTCTGGGTTCTCAGACAATTTTGGCCACTGCCTTGCCTAGTAGCTGGGCACTGTTTTGATTTTAAAAGTGCACATACTGAGCAGAGAAACCCAAGCTGTAGTTTGTTTTCTAGTTATTAAGACTACACTTACAGGTATTGGGGGATTAGTACATATTCATTTCACTAATAATCTTAGAAAAGCCTACCAAATGACTTTCAGAAGATTCTAAATAAAACCAGGAATCAGAATTTAAGGAAGGGATGACTTCCCTTTTTTTGGGGAAAAAAAGAACCAAAAACAAAAAAACCTTCCTTTTTTAGGTAAATATATAGGAAAGAAATCTAAAAAGGAGGTCCGCCTTGAGATATTAGTGCAAACACCAAGGTTTGACATGTATTCATACCTGGAGAGCCTTTAAACTGTGGACATTCCTTCTTAATGTGCCCTTCTCTTCCACAAATGAAACAACGTTTTTCCCTTAAGTCTTTGTCATCCTGTCTCTTCCATTTTTCCATGGGTGGCCTGAGAATCTTTTCCCTGCCCAGGTCAACAGCTGCCCTCATTGGCTTGGCTTTCTGAGCTGCACCCTGTGTGGGTTTGTCTTCTTTTGTTGATACCTCTCTTTCTGTGTACTTGTTTTGAATTTCTTTGTCCTCTTTGCTTCTTTTTTCCTTGTTCTCAGGGAATCTTTGGTTCAGGGTATCTTCCTGATCTCGCCGTCGCCTCACTCTGTGGAAGATATTATACTGATAGGAAAAATCTAAACAAAAACCTTACAAAATATACAGATAATTCCAGGTTAAAGATATAATCAGGAATAGAAGATATCAATAGACTTAAGTCCATCTTCTCTGTTAAGAAGCTACAGTTGTACATCAGTATCCATGGAGATCTGGTCCCAGGGTTCCCCGGGGAAACCGAAAGCCACAGATGCTCAAGACCCTTTTATCAAATGGTGCAGTGCTTGTATGTAATTTATACAAATCCTTTTGTTATATCTCCTATTATACTTTATATCATCTCTAGATTACTTATAATAACATAAATACTATGTAAATGGCTGTTATACTATATTTCACAAGAAATATTAAAAAACAAGTCTATACATATCTAATATAAATATGTTTTTTTCCATATACTTTTGACCTGCAGTTTTCAAAGGATGTGGAACCCATGGATACAGAAAGCTGACTGTGGTACCTCAGGGCTTATTGGTGTGTGTGTGTGTGTGTGTGTGTGTGTGTGTGTGTTTCCATTTTCAACAACAAAAAAATATATGGCATATTTCAAAATAACAGAGAGAGGAGATCTTGACTGTCTCACCACACACACACACACACACACACACACACACATTTCTTTTCCATTTTCAAGGTTGCTGTAGTGCTGTAAAACCAATTTTTTAAAAAATATTTTTTTAGCTAGAGATGGATACAATACCTTTATTTTATTTATTTATCTTTATATGGTGTTGAGGATTGAACCCAGGGCCTCACATGTGCTAGGCAAGTTCTGTACCACTGAACTACAACCCCAGTCCCTGTAAAACCAATTTTTGCAGCACTTAATTCAATGCCTGCTTTGATACTGATGTTGTAACTCAAATTATCCATGGGCTGACTTCTTGAACAGCATATTAACATTCTTTACTAGGTAGTGGAAACTTGGATGTGAAACTTTTTAAGTTCACAAGGGAAAAATGGTTATTTTTTAAATGGTTAAGATTTATCTTTTTAAAATGTCAAAATCATTTCTAGCTTGCCCTTTTTGAGCACTGATTTAATAATAAAAAACACTATAAAAGAGCTCCTCAAATTATAGATTATGACTTATTTTGAATAGCAAAATAAATTTCTAAATAAGAATATTACTTTCTAGTTAAAAAACACCACCAGTACCACCCTAAACCAATAATATGTCCCAAAGAAGGAACCAAAACTGTCTCCCCTGTCCTCCCACAAATATCATGAGGAGAAAGCATGGTGACCTAGCTCAGTAGCTTATCTACTCATAGCAATTATTAAAGTTAAGCCAAGTACAAATGAAGGATCCGATATTCCTGTAAACTGAGTGGATATAAATCCCAATATGTTATACCTCAGCTATTGTACATTAGAAATGTAGGTGAGATCCTGATGGAACTTACTTAACTGTTCATTGAAATGATTCTGAACTTCTTACCACTATGAAAGGAATGAATGTCTTAGTCTCCTCCTTTCTTTTTCTATCCCTACTGGAGGCTAATTAATGATTAGGGCCATGACCAAAACTAGGAAAGATCAGGCCTGAAAGGCTGTCATCTCTACAACTGAGTGTTAGCCTTAGTTTTCTGTACTTACAGTCATGTTTTAATCATTTCATTTTCATTTTTTAAAAAAATCTTAAATTTATTAAAATCTGCTGAGTTTCACATAAGTTTATTTTCTCTGCTACAACAGAATCACATTTAAAAAGTGGCACAAAAGAAAAATGAAAACAAAACCACCCTTTCTGAATATTTGCTTACTTTCTTCTCATGGGACAATCTTTCATGAAGTGTCCAATTTTCCCACAAATTCTGCAACATCTATCATTTGGGGCCAGCTCTCCTTCAGTTAGTACATCTGGATCAAAAAAGTATTCCTAGAAGAACATAAATTTTTCTAAGTAATGAATTATTAATGTGAAATAAAACACAAAATGATGAATGTGCCTATACAGCCATATGCTTAGGGTTCATTTAAAATGTCTCTATTGGAGAAGGGGGAGAGGGAATAAGGGTACAAAGTTTTAGACAGACAGGAGAAATAAGTTTTGAGACATGCTGCAAAGCAGGTGATTATAAATAATAATAATGTATGGCAGGGGCTGGGATTGTGGCTCAGCTGTAGAGTGCTCGCCTAACACGTGTGGAGCACTGGGTTATATCCTCAGCACCATATAAGAATAAAATAAAGGTATTGTGTCCAACTGAGCTAAAATAAGACAAAAAACAAAATGTAAGGCATATTTCAAAATAATTGAGAGTAGATCTTAAATGTCTCACCACACACACAAAAAAAAAACAGGTAAAGGGATAGACACATTAATTTTGATTTAGCCATTCCATATTGCACATATATATAGATACCACATTTTACCCGATAAATATATATAATTATGATTTTGTCAGTCAAGATTTTTTTTCATTAGAAAAAGTCTTTATTAAGGAAATGCAGGGGAAAAAAACTTTATTCCCAACCATCATTTTTCTCTATTTTTTTAATGTAATTTTGCCTTTTTAAAAAAACATTTATTTTTTAGTTACTGGTGGACACAATATATTTTTTTTTATGTGGTGCTGAGGATCAAACCAGATGCCTCGCGCATGCTAGGCAAGCATTCTATCTCTGAGCCACAACCCCCAGCCCCCTTTGCTTTATTTTTGATGATAAGGGTGGTTCCTCAGAAACCTGGGTGTCAGGCTATATGAGAACAGGTAGTTCTACAGGGAAGGGAGGGTCATTCTTTTAACCGTGTCAAGGGGATTTATTAGTCATTGCAAGCAGGCTAGAAAATCTAGATTCCCACAAAGGTTAGATGTTCTTAGATGTGAGCACACTGCTTGGATGAGGCTGGCATAGAATAGGACTAGAAGATGGCAAAGGGGGAGAAATAGAATTTAACAAACTTAAATCCTTTTTCTCTGTTGAGAAGCCACTTCAGGGGTTTAGAGTGGGTTTTACATTCTCATTTTAAAAGCTGCTCTATCTAAGTGCTGGTTTGTGTTATCAAGGAAAAGAAGCATCAGTAAAATTATTAATTTCCCCACTCAAACTGTATTTCTTTCTACTTCTTTCTGTATTTCTCATGACTGGCCTCTAAGCCGGAACTTTAAAAATAAAGTTCCTTAGGAATTTGTTTGTATTATAACCATTTGTCTTGGCCAGATTCACCAGACTTTTGAGTATTTATTACTGGAGTAATATGTACAAGCTAAAGGCTTAAAATGTTCAAATTAGGTGCTTTAAAAAAWTTTTTTTTTAATCTGGCATTTCCAACAGACACTTACCATTTTTGAGGGATAATCCTTTGGTAATCCTTTGACTGGAATTCCAAATACTCTTCTACCATTGATAAAAGCTTTCATTATAAAATTTGTCACTAAGAAGAAAAGAATAAGAACTCAATTAAATGGCTTACAAGGAAAAGAGATTTTATTAAAATTTACAATTAAAGTAACGTACTTTTCCGTGATAATCCGGCTCCAAGATTATGATTTAGATCAAAGGGATCTAAGGAAAGAAAATTAAAGACAGCAAATATGATAATCAAATAAGAAATGCCACATTTTTCAAGAAGTGACATTCATATAACAAGGAAATTCAACTTTTTACTTATTAGTAGTAAATGCATTAAAAGATTGCCTCTTAAATGAGTTTAAAATCCATAATATACCTAAGTAATAGATATTCCTCAATATAAGGCAAGTTTGCCGTTACAAGTGTTCATCAGAAAAGAGTGTGTTGCCAGGTACAGTGGTGCACAACAGTAATCCCAGCATCTTGAGAGGATGAGGCAGGAGGATTGAGAGTTCAAAGCTAGCCTCAGCAACTTGGCAAGGCCCTAAACAACTCAGCAAGACCCTGTCTCAAAAAAATAAAAAGGGCTGGGGATGTGGCTCAGTGGTAAAGTGTCCCTAAGTTTAATCCCTGGTTTAAGGAAAAGAAAAGATAGTGCTGCAGTATTGTTTTATATTTAAATCTTTTTTAGAATGTCTGATGACCGGTTGCTCAATACTAGAAAAACAGTGTTCACAGAAGACACATTTACCTGATATTACCTAATGAAGCCAGTTTTGAATGCATATAGCAGTCACAAATATATTTAACATATTTTAGCACTTATGTTAACTAACCAGTGCTTATGTTAACTAACCAGTCTCTTAAATATCCCTTTAAAAAATAATTTGCCAAGTAGATCATAAATACTTGTAAGATAAAATTAAAATACACAAAGACACATACACYTGCCCAGTGGCATATGAGTGACTACTTGGATCTTAGGAAACAATTTCCAATAAAAATAATTTCCAGTAAAAGCTGCATGTAAAAACTCCCATATCATTAAAAAAAAAAAAAAAAACTAGTGTAAATAGTTTATTTGCTCATATGGCATGGAAAGACCAAAAAAGTAACATGAATTATTATTATTATTTACAGATTACTTTTACAAAACATTTCTAATATTACTAAGAAGCAGACTCATTTATAAACAAACAGAAAAGGACATGCTAACATTATTGTCTATTTGAACATTAATAGGCAATTGAGCTTTGGGAAGTACCTGTAATGGTCTAGCTATTTGTCTTACATGTTATGGTCAATTTGCTATTTTCATCAAAATGAATGTTGACTCAACCAAAAGACAAAATTCTTGGCATGTTCTTTTTAAAGTACATATGGGAATGCTCCAGCAGGTGGCAGTTTAATCTGTATGCTGAAGAGTGAAATGTAGTAACTGATCTATAAAATGTCTTTATGTATATTAAAAAATACTGTATGCTAAAATAATATTTAGATCGTATAGTATAGGATGATGCATCTTTAAGCAATACAGTCCATATCTTCTTAAATGTCTGCGCCTCAAACATCTTAGATAGCTATATATATGATGTGTTCTGAAATATTCTTAGATGATGCATAAAGTGGCAGCAGTGATGAAAAGGATGCAGATGTTAAAGATGTGTATGAGGTTTGAATGCATGAAATGGAAGTACATATATTATTTCTAAATCCAACCACTACTTAATAGATGATCTAAACTGCCATATGCATGCAATCTTTCATAATTTAGACATTATGCATAAATATTTAACATGCCTGAAACAATATTCAAGCAAAGAAAGAAAAATGAAAGGACCCTTTTTGAGGGAAACTGTCATTGAGAAAATGTAGGATCACATGTACACTGTTTGGGCAAAAGGAGTAAAGAGGCACCCTTCTGCTAGCCCATTATGCTTCTAATGGAAATATCTTAGATGTATCATATTGGAATTTAGACTAACAGTTTCCTCTTTACTCAACTTAACCCTATAACAATAACTGCTATGAGAATATTACCCTCGTGGTCAGTCTGGTCATGCTGGTGATGTTTGTAGTATGTGTGGTATTTTTGGTTGTTTGCTTGGTATAGTAGAATTAGATTATTACTATATTAGCTATTATATAGTTAAAAACATTAGTACTGCTACAATTGAAATTTCTTAATTCTAGAATAGGTTATATAATCATGGTTATATAATCATGAATATTCTCTCTATATACAGTTTAGCTTATTATTTATAACTCATCTGAAAGTAATGTAAAAAAAGCATGATAATAAGGCTTCAAAAATTAAAATAAATGTCAATATTTATGTAATTAATTTTCAAGATCTTTATTGCTATTGATAAAAAGAACTTGATGGCACCCTCACACCCTCAATTAGTAAGGTTTTAAAAGTCCCGCTATTTTACATTCCCTTTACTACTATTATTCTCCAATATATGGTCAACAATGATAAAAGATTTTTCATGCTAAACAAAGCCTTTTACACTTGTGAGAGGTCCATATGAGGTCATGAGAGCAGGAGGAGTATACTGCACATCCAGGCAGCAACTCATAAAGGCCCCAGAACTGTTAGGAGGAAGAACAAAAGTGTTCATAGTTCAAACTCTCTGTTCTATTCAGTTTGAAGTTTAATTCTACTTGTACCTTCAATAACAATGTATTTTGAAGTCCACTGTTTCTTAAATGTTGTAAGCAGACTTCTTCTCCTGATGCTAATAACATGTTCTTTAAAATCAAATTCCTCTGTGTAGAAACGAAGAAGTCCCAACCACAGTTGCCCAACAGATTCTGTATTTTTTCCATATTCTGGCCAATAGATAGGCTAGAAAAAGAAGGGAACACAGGATATCATGCTCTAGAACAAAGTGTTAATATCTATATTCATTTGCATCTTAGGAAGTAAATTTGGAGTTGTTTCTAATTACCTAAGAGTTTAAATACATCAAAATGTAATTATATAACTTAAATGAATTTATTATAATTTCTGCTCTGTGACTTGAAGATAGAAAGAGCTCAGAGTTTAAAGTGACATGAGTTTTCAGTGACATATCTCGGAACATGTCAGCAGGAAAATTCAGAAATAAATTCTAAGATCCTTGGTGATACCTGAATTATTAGGTCTCTATATCTCAATAAAACCTTACCAAATTATTGGTACAGAATCACAGAGGAAATATTTGTTCCCATGTAATAAAGTTACCTAACCATTTGAAATTATCAGGCATTACGGAAATACCAGAATAGTGCCTAGAAACTCACCTGGCTTAATAAAAATATTTTCTCTTCAAAGAACACATCTGTAATGTTATTTTTCATTATTATCATATAAATAAATGTTACAAGCAATAATATTGTTGTTGACCACCTACATTATAGCACAGTAAGCTAAATTTTAGTAAGGATGTAGGAAAATCTTTACTCTTAAAATACGTACCAGTTCATCTATTTGATCAAAAAAATAAATATTCCAGCCATCAACAAATATTTCAGGTTTCTTTTCACCTTTGTATATCTGAAATTAATTTTTAAACTATTAGTATGGATTATAAACTTAATGCATTGATACAAAAACTTCTAGGAAAATAGTTTAAAATTTAACTACAGAGCCACAGACTTTTAGAGAAGGAAGAGGGCTGAGAGATCACCCAGCTTTATAGAAGAGAAATACAAGTTCTTTAACGAATACCTCTTGAAGAACAGGAATGACTGGCGGATTCCTCTGCTGGAGGAAATATAGCACCATAAGAGTGTATGCATATGATGATAAGCTGCCTCTAGATGCATCACCAATATCACACATCTAAAGTGGAGGAAAATGCAAGACAAAGGAAGATCACTAGTGTTTTCTACTAAATTTGCAGCCATCCTATAATCACTAAAAATAAGATATTCATTTGGGGAACTAATATAAAAATCACATTTTTCCCCACCGTTTTTTTAAATTGGCACATCACAGTTGTATATAATGATGGGAACTGTTTTATATATATACACACACACCTATAATATGATTTGCCCAATATCACTCCCCAGCACTTTCCCTTCCTTCCCGCTCACCCCTCAGTCCTTTTCCTCTGTGGATTTCCCTGAGATCCCACCCTCTACCTTTTCTAAAAATCACACTGTCAAAATCTAAAATATCCCAATGAAATGAACCAACCCAATTCAAACCAAACTGAACCCAATGAAGCAGTGAACTATTAACCAGAAGCAAGATCAGATTATTATGTAAAATTTAAGACAACAAAAATTTAGTTGCCTGTATAGGGCTTCTCAAAGTTACAGGAAGCATCTGACATGGTTATTTGTCATTAAAAAATACAGATTTTGTTTTCAACAAGATTTGAAGATGCAATGCAATTTCCTGACAAATCACAACAAGAAGCTTACTCACCTTTGTAAATACTTTCATGGTATAGCACAGATATTTCACTCTGGGATCAATGGTTGAGTAAGCAGATAAAAGCCTTGTGTTATGAAGGGCCTGTTAAAAAGGAAATTACACTATAAGGCTATCAATTAGAAGAAAAATATTTTAAGCTGAAATATTCTGGAAATGGTCACTTGCAATTAATTTTAGGAAGAACATATTTAGATTGAGATTACCTTTTCTTTTCAAAGACACACTTTGTTAATTTACTAGATAAAAACAAAGAATTATAGTAACATGTTCTGATGACTTCCATTATGTTAATATGTCCTTACTTTGAAGTTCTAGAAAATAAGGAGCTATTAAAATAAACTAGTTTCCTTTAAGTAAATATAAAGTTTCTCTTTGCTCCATGGCATTATTTCAATTAAATTATCTCAAGGACAAGAAAAATTTTGTAAAATCCTGCAGCAAGACTGACACCATGGTTACATAGTTCTCTCCAAAAACACCACCACMACCACAAAATTACCACAAAATTCAAACCAAACAAAAAAGCTTGCCACTCTGATCTCATTTTAAGTGAAGAGAATAGTAATATGTGTGTGTGTGTATGTATATATATATATATATATATACACAATATATAAATATATATATATAAAAATATATATATATATTTTATTTTTATTTCTTTCCCCCAACTGTTGAATAGCATACTTTGTTTTTAAAAATTTTTGTGGCACTGGGGATGGAAGCCAGGGTCTTATGCATACTGGCAAGTGCTCTATCATTGACCTACTTCTCCAGCTCAAGTAAATATTCATATTAACTAAATTCTCTATCCCTATCCTCAGAACATGATCAAGCACACAGCAAGTACTCATAAAAATCTCTCCAAAGAATAAGTAACATGAAATAAATGGCTCATTTAACTTGAGATTTTTAAAGGGGGGCAGTTATTCTTTTTAATCTTTTTAAAGAAAAAGCCCTGAAAAAAATCTTACCAATGTGTTATACAAACTGATATCTACTTCCAGACCACTTCTTGAATGGAAGAACTTCACAATTGGCACCTTTGCTGTTGTAATAGGTAAGATGTTTCTCAGACCTAGATTGGGAAATAAGATAGTATGATTAAATACAGTAGCTGGGAATAAAAAATGGTTTGTAAGCTAATACTTCAACATAAACATAAATGATGCAACATAACTTAGGCTTGTTTCACTGTATTGAATTAGAACTTAGCGGACCTTTTGTGTGTGTATGCGTGTGCATGCATGTATGTGAGATTGTTAGTTTGATAAACACCAAAACAGAGGAAACAACTACAGTATCTGCAGTACGTGTTTTGTCTATTCTCTTCATGACTGTATGTAATTTGGAAGAAACCCTATGGGCAATCACCTGAATCCTTTGAAACAAGCTACTCATCATGGAGCAAGAAGTTATGAAGGTAACAGGAAGCAATCAATTTCAGTAAGAGAAGGAAATTACCTGATCTAGCCTTTGAAGGAAAAGAATGTGCAAATGATAGTGTGTAGGTTGAGAGGATTTACCAGGCAAGAAAAACTATACTCAGAAAGGGCAGACATCTGAAACAGAATGGCTCGAGAGATCTTACAAGGAATTATGCAGGCAGTAGAATAAATTGAGGGAAAGGAACATGAATAAAGAGAGATGAGAAAGAAATTGGGAAGAACCCAGAGCCCTATATACCATGCTAAGAATGACATTTAGAGATAAAGAGAAGTCAACAAACTGGTGTGAGGAAAAATCACTGACAATCTTTATTTAAACAATGCCTCAGCAATGGATGCACTGGAGACAATGGAACGCAAGACAGCCCCTTATAAAAAAAAACATCTGGGCCTCAACTATCAAGGTAGAATGGAAATACAGAGAGAAAGCAAGTCATGCTTGAGTCTCTATGACAGGATGGGGAGGAGAAATGTTAAGGAGGAGAAGGGCTGTTAACAGTAAGAGTTACTATTTTCTGAGTACAAAATGTGTTACCAGGGGCATGCAAAGAGTATTTCACAAACTTAGATTGAGTACCATCATCTTACAGATGAGGAAACAGAGACCCACAGAAATCCACTTAGGAACATACAATTGGTAAATGGTGAACCGAGGATTCAAACAAGGCACAAATGATTCCAAACTTCTTCTGAATAGACTATGTCAGACTAATAATCACTTCATCCAATTTGGTGATTCTAAAGATAACAATGTTGAAAATCTAGAAAGAGGATTCAGAAGGAAGGGCAGGTAGCAGTGGTGGAACCAATAGAAGGAAGGAAGTAAAGAGAAAAATGAGTCTATTCTGATATGTAGGAGTATGAATTTCCTGAGAGTGCTAAGTGGTGATGTTTAAAGGGCAGATATACAGTTATCACATTACAGAACTTAGGTAAAGGGGCTGGGGTTTTGTGATGCTGGGGATTGCGGCTTAGCAGCAGAGCACTTGCCTAGCACGTGTGACGCTCTGGGTTTGATTCTCAGCACCACATAAAATAAATAAAATATAGCTATTGTGTCCAACTAAAAAAAATAAATATAAATAAAAGAACTCAGGTAAAAAGCATGTAAATGGTAAAAGTAATTTCAGGATGAAAAGTCTGTAACGGGCTGAGGTTGTAGTTCAGTGGTAGAGCTTGCCTAGCAAGTGTGAGGCCCTGGGTTCAATCCCCAGCACCACATAAAATTAAATAAACAAAATAAAGGTATTATGTCCATCTACAACTAAAAATATTAAAAGAAAGAAAGATAGATCTGTGTGGGAAACAGAGAAAACTAACTTATATTAACAGGGAAGAGAAGTAAGGAAGCTTGGATTTACTGAATACTCAGAATATACGGTGCTATACAGATGAGGAACTGGGTGTTTATAATGAGGCTGAGTGAGGTATTGGGATCACACAGCCTGAAAATGGGAAACCAGGATTTAAAGCYGGGTGGTGGGGGAGGGGCTGCTAACAAGGCTGTGGGATCAATTGGGATAAATCCCCAGTACCACACACACAAAAAAACAGTACCTGCTTTAGATGCAGAAGGCCCTGAGTTCAATCCCCAGCATCACAAAACAAAAAATTTTAAAAACTGAAACAAAAAAAACAAAGAGCCAGGCCCAGCTACTTGGGAGGCCGAGGAAGGAGGATGGCAAGTTGTAAACCAGCCGTAGCAACTTAGTGAGAACATTTCTCAAAATAAAAAATGAGATTATGTACCCCATTTGAATCAAATGTATGATATGTCAAGATCATTGTAATGTTTTGAGCAACTAGTAAAAACATTAAAAATAAAAATAAAAAATGAAAAGGGCTGAGAATATAGCTCAGTGGTAGACTGCCCTTTAATTCAATTCCCTTTAACACAAAAACAAAACACCCCACAGAAGAGTCTGATTTCAGAATATCTACCAAATACTTTTCTCTATCACCTCTAAATTAGACAAACCATTTTCTCCAACTCCTTCCCATTCAGGAATTAGACACCATTGGCCACTATAATACATAGAACCTTGTCCAAGCATTTATTCATAGTAAATCAAACTGGTTCTATTTTATCAATTCCAAAGCTCCAATGTTCAGTCTTTATTTTCTACCCACTGAAATTAAGGTTTAGTCCTCAACTTCTTTCAAATAATTCCTTACAATTTTGCTTAATTCTTGGTATCACTCTTGGACTCTCAGGTTTACATAGCATTGATAGATGCCCCACTAGCAAAAGAATATGTTAATGGCATTTTAGCTCTGCAAACAATTTAAAAATCCATATATTTTACAGTTGTAAATGATTTCTCACTTTTCTTAATTTATTGATAAAACAGATCAAGCAAAGTGAACCCTGGCTCAGGGTTATAATAGCTTGACGAACAGAACAGCTGTGAATGCAATTGCCTAGGCCAAGATGCTCTTCACTACACTTATGAGGTTTTAATAATTTCTATACTTTGATTTATATGAAATCAATAAGTAAAATGATTTCCAAAATTTCCTGTCTGGTATATACTTTGTCTTGGGGGGAACACACACACACACACACACACACACACACACACACACACACAAAACTCAGCTAGGGAACAATATGTACACAAATTATCACCAACTCCTCAGTCTTTCATACTTAATCATGATATTTTTTAAGGACACTAATACTGTAAGTATTTTATAAAATGAGTCACTATATTGTTTTATAGGCATTAATATATTATAAGTACATGGGGCTGAGGTTATGGCTCAGTGATAGAGTGCTTGTCTAGCACACGTGAGGCACTAGGTTCAAACCTCAGCACCACATAAAAACGAAATAAAGATATTGTGTCCACCTACAACTAAAAAATAAAAAAATTAATAAAAATAAATTCTAAGAATACGAAACACTAAAAAAGTTATAGTATTTTTCGAAACAAATATTTAGAGGTACCTGAATGTTTTCTAAGGACTCTTGCCAATTCTTCAATAGTTCTTACACAGTCCAACCCCTGCAACAAAGATGACACACATATTAATCAAAATTGTAAGACAGGTTCTTCAGATATAATGAAACTCATTATATGTTTTTCTCTTTTAGTTGAGAGTCAGTCAATATCCATAGGAAATATTCTAAATATGCAAAAACTGCCACACATCCTATGTTCTAATTGCTTTTGAAGGTGTAAAAAAGGTTAAAATTAGTCAGGAAGCCATGGACTGAGAGCTTCTTGAAAAGTCTCTGAACCATGGATGAGGACTTCCATTTTTTTGCTATGTAATTATCTCTCTCAGAAGTACCCTATGTGCCAGAGTATATAAGGGGCTTCTATGCCTCATCTTATTAATTCCAGGTAAAATCTTAATTATAGTTTAAGAGTTGATAACTTGCTGTGGATAGTGATTAAGCTCACATTATTTCCCCACTGGACTAGCCAAAATTATAATGCAGAAAATTAAGGTAATATAGCAAATAATATTTCTAATAATTCATACTTAAAAACACATTCACAGTCCCTATCAATGTAAGCCCTTTTGATGACTGTACACATCCCAGAACATATTTGGAATTTCACTTTAGAAATGCCTTCAAAATTAGTTTATATACTAGGTTAAAAAAAATTAATCTCGGGCTGGGGATGTGGCTCAAGCGGTAGCGCGCTCGCCTGGCATGCGTGGGGCGTTGGGTCCGATCCTCAGCACCACATACAAATAAACTAAAGATGTTGTGTCCACCAAAAACTAAAAAAAAATAAATATTAAGAAATTCTCTCTCTCTTAAAAAATTAATTAATTAATCTTGAGGTTGTATAATAGGGTTGTTCCATACAGAAGACCTAATCTTGCTTATTCATTTTATTTACCAAATTCTGGGCAGATCATTTTTGTCCTTTTTTCCAAATCTGTTACATCTTCAAAATGTGAACTCGAAAGGAAGGCAAAGAAAGCTCTTGAGAACAGTAGCAGCACTCTTCTGGATATAGAGCCTTTGGGCTACTGTTACAAATTTAAAAAATAGGGACTTGGGGTGTAGCTAAGAGGTAAGAGCCCTTATTTGGCATGTTCAAGTCCCTCAGCACCACTTATCAAAAATAAAAATAATAAAAACAGAAATAAACAAAACAAACAAAAACRAATAGGAACTCAGCACATCTCAGAATTTATATAATTTTTATATMAGTGCCTTCCTATATACATCAGAGGCTGACAAATTTGTTCTGTTTTGTGAGCCACATAAGCATGTGTTATAAGTATTAAACTCCCAGTCATGTAGAGAAACAGACATAGACAAAACATAGGGTTGGGGGTTATGACTCAATGGTAGAGTGCTTACTTAGCATGCGTGAGGCACTGAGCCACTGGGTTCGATTCCCAGCACCACACACACACCCACACACACACACACACACACACACACACAAACTAAATAGACAATACATAAATGAATGGGTGTGGCTCTGTTCTAATACAACTTTATTTACAAAAACAGGCTGTGAGCTGAATTCAGCCCATAGGCCAAAATTTGCTATCTCCTGACATATAAAAACCAAGCTGATGTGCACTATGATCTCCTAAAGCAAGAGATAGAAGTTATTATTTCCATTTTATAGCTATGGACCAAAGACCACATGTTTAGGTACTGAAAAAWCCAAGTTGTCTCAAATCCAGGTCTTTGGACTATAAAGGTAGCACTCATCATTTATACCACACTGCCTGCCTGATTTAAAACAAAAACAAAATAAAAACCTTATAGATAACGTATAGATATGCATATCCAGGTCAGTCTAGTAGCCAGGCCAATGGAACACCAGGAAAGCTGGTTTGGCTTTGTAGAATTCCCAGTGGTCACTTTCAAATCTACTTCATACTAAAAGTTGAAAGTACAAGACAATCTATTCTTCATATTCACCTCTAAGTTTAATGTATTTGGCTAGAGGGTGTGCCAAATGGCACACTCCATATGGCATGCCTTGATAAATTTGGAAAATACCAAGCTGTACCATCAGTCAAGATAGTTCAAATCACACTGCCACAGCAAATGCAAGTTTTATGTGGTCACTGTACCTCAGCAGTTTCATGTCCATTAATTGTCATACAGACGTCAAGGTCACTCTGCTTAAAACCAAATCCATTTTTGGAGGAGCCAAACAAGCTCAATTTAGTTCCTGTTAGGGATATATGAAAAGTAATAACTAATTACCTGAGTACATTTAATATTTTGACCAAAATGACCCTCTCATGAATCAAATATACCCAGGTGTTAACTATCCAATCTCATAATAATTTTTTATTAACTATTTATTTATTTTAAAAATATTTTTTCCAAGTTTACTTTAATATACAAGCTGTATATATCATGAAAGATTACTAGGTGACATTTCAAACAAAATGGAGATCATTTCAACACATTTAATAATGTATCACTCCTTTCTAAATAAATGCATATTTTAAGGTGTGAACTCTGATTACAAATGTAATATTCTCCCGGAGGAAGAAGGGGACCCAAGAGGTGGAATCCCTGCACTGTACTTTCTTTTCTGTTCACAAACCAGGATTTGGTGCAACAAAGACCATCCTAGGTATATCACAAAGCAACTGAAACTCCAAACCCACAACCATTGCAAGATGTTATTCTCAAAATTATTATGCTCATAATACATGTACTCTTTTGAAAGGAAGGTCACATTACCTTTTTTTAAGGATTAAAAAAAATATATCATTTACCTGGAAAGTCCTGTTTTATGAAACTTTCTAAGTTTTGCCGGATATGTTCACGAGCCTGATCTTCTAAAATAGTTGGAGAAAAATCCTCTGTTTAAAATAAATAGACACATTGAGAAAAAGATTGATGACTTTTTTTTTGAAAAAGCTGAAAGTAAGACTTCTAAGGTTTAAAGAAAACACCCTAATTTTTGTGCCTTTGCCTAGATAACTTTTGTAATATAAAATAATCTTTTGTTTCTTTAACAGAAGAGTCTATTAGAAAGAACTACTCTTAAAATGAAAACTAATTTAGAGAGGCTCTGTACCTGGGTTTTACAGAGACCTCAAAGAGCGAATCCAAAAATTTGTGAGCATGTCCATATTTTTTCCTAAAGAGAACCTAGTTTTCTTTWATAGATTTAAACCACCAAAAAGATTTTGTTTCCATTTTTAAATCCCTGGCAGCCAGGCATGATGGTGCACACCGTAGTCCTGGTTATTCAGGAAGCTGAGGTGGGAGGATCATTGAGTCTAGAAATTTGAGAAGGCTTTTGATAATATCTCGAAAGTTTTTAAAAAATTATTTTTCAGCATAGATGGACACCTCAGGATGTAGCAATATGAAGCATTAAGTTCTCCATTCTAAGCAGTAAAATGTCTCTATTGCAAAATTTTCTCATTGTAGGACTTGAAACCTCTCTATACCAATGCTCCCCCAAACTCTACTCTTCCTTAAAGGGCTATCATATTGTGTGCACTATGAATTAATGTTAACTAAAAAGGATTCTGTGCTCAAATTTTGGAGCTGTTGGATTAAAGATATAAAAACAAGTTTCTTTGCTACAACACTGCTTTTAAACACTGCTTTTATCATGCCTTGCAAATCTCTGAAGAAGATTTACTGCTCCCCAAGGGAGGGGGCAATATGTACAGTTATTCCTTTGTGAGAGAATACTTCTGGTCATGAAAAATGCATCTAGGAAAACATTTCAAGGAATGTAATCTATTAGTTGGAAAAGCTAATATAGTATTTTAATCTTAAGACTTAAAAAGTCTTAAGATTAAGTAGTTCAGTGATAAAGCATGAGTTAAGCACGTGGAAAGCCCTGGGTTCAATCTGCAGCACAAATAAAACAGAAAAAACAAACAACTTAAAAAGATATTCCTTCCTTCTTTCTTTAATGACTACTTATTGTGTGTCCCAAATGGGACCTGCATGTCACACTGAAGCAAGAGGATCTCAAATTCAAAGCCATCCTCAGCAACTTAAGAGTGACCCTTAATTTAGCAAGGGTCTCAATAGAAAAAATAAAAAGGACCAGGAATATGGCTCAGTGGTAAAGCACCCCTGGGTGCTTGAAGACCTGGGTTCAATTTCCAGTAACAACTACAACAACAACAAAAGGACAATTTACTTTTCTGACAAATGAAAAGAAATGTGAATAACTTACTGTAACACTGGAAACAAACTTGATCTAAGATATTTGAAAACTTGGGTGTTAGTGGTGGCAAAGGTTCCAGCTGGATTCTTTTGAAGTCTTCAGGACAGTCCTTCTTTAGATGACCCTCTCGTTTGCATAAGCTGCACACAACTGTGGGAGACTGTAGGAATATGGCAAAGCAAAATAACACTGAAAACTTTATTTGCCAAATAATGGGATTTAGATTTTTTTTTTTTTTGGTCTTGCAGATTGAACCTGGGAGCACTTAACTACTGAGTAACATCCCCAGCCCTTTTTACTTTTCATTTTGAGACATGGTCTCATTAAGTTGGTTAGGTCCTTGCTAAGTTGCTGAGGCAGGCTTTGAACTTACAATCCCTCCTGTCTCAGCCCCTTGAGTGGCTGAAATTATATGCCTGGATCTTTTTTATTTTTGAAGTACAAAGCCTACTCTTCACTTTCCAAAGAAATGAAGCCATTAAATGATCTGAGAGAGAAGCATCCTTATGATGTCATCAGGAGAAAAGGATAGTTACTATCAGCTTTCCATTCCTCCTATGCAGATTCCTACAAATCTGATTGGAAGGAATGTAAAGTGGAAGGAAATGAATCAAGTGGCTGTATTAGGACAAAGGCAAAACTTCTTAACCACACCCAAAACAGGGAGAATTATGTTCTTGTGTTTGAAAATTGAAATTACATGTATTAAAATTGTTTAAAGTCTCCTGATTACCTTGCCTTTGGTGAAGATAAGTTTACTAAATTCATAGAAGAAATCAGACTGGTCCACTGGTGAATTTTCCTCTTCTTCTTTAAGATTTATTTTATTAAGTTCCATAAGTAGAGCTCCATCTACATTTTTTTCACATTCTTTCAAGTCTTCATATTTAGCCGGCTCAACTAATTCATCATCCTCTTCAGAAAGAGCATCTTCATCACCTGATCCAGTATAGGTATTGTCCAGCTCATCTTCATTAGCAATGCCAACCTCATCTTCCCTTTGGTTAATGGTGAGCCTGGGTTCTTCCTCCTCCTCTTCATCTTCCTCCTCTTCTTCATCAAAGTGAATGATTTCAGATGTTTGACACTGGACTAAAGGGACAAAGTGGTTTAAAGAGTCTTCTAGCTCATCAGTACCTTCTACACTTTCTTCATCAAGATCAATCTTGTTATCAAAAGTAGCAAATCCATCATACACTTTGGCTGTAGGACTTTGGAGGCCTTCTAAATTCAAAATGCTATCTGTCTCATAATTACATGGGCTGCTGCCAATTGTAAGTTCTCCACACTCATTACTGCTTATACCAGGGTCATCAGCAGTCAAAGGATGCTTTCCCTTCTTTCTGATTTTCTCTTTCTCATCTTTACTTCCAGTTTCTTGATGGTGTACTTTAATATCCTCATAATTATCACAATTGACTTCTGCCTGGATACAGCTGGAGTTTCCCAGATGTGTGCATTTCCTGATGTGTACATTTCCAATTTCTTCAGCTGGTGGGCTTYCACAGCTTTCAGCAGTCTCTTTAAGAGAAAGTGGCTGTGCCTTGCATGCATTTTCAGTTGAAATGGTAGTAGCACCAGGGCCTTGAGCCAAAACGGAATTGTTGAGCTTATCGTCTTTTGCTTGCACATCTGGATCATGATTTATTACTTCTTTAAAATGTTCTGAAATACTTGTAACTGTGCTCAGAGGCTTTGGAAGGCTGGATTTTGCAAGTTTGTGTGGAAGAGCAAAATATTTATATGTCGTCCTTAAACAGTGAAGTATATATTCAAAGACAGGTTGATTATTTAGGGTCCTTGCCACATTTCTTTTAACAGAGTAGGGATCTGTAACAATAATAATGAAAAAACAAATATACCACTTAATATATTTCTATTTCATGCTCTAAAAATTAGCCTGCTGCAAATAAAAATAGATAACAAATAAACAACAGTGAAGTTTACATCTTATATGCTTAAAAAAAGAAAAAATGCAGGTAGAGAATATGACACAGTATAAGAACAAAAAGCAATGTTTTCTGAAACATCTGTTCTACGAAGAGAACCCATCCTGTACAGAACCAGTACCCCTTCCCTATTCTGCTGTGACTGCGGTGGTAGGAAAGATGTCATTAGTGTGTTTATCGTGCCCTCAGGAAGTCAGGTCTTCCCTATAGGCTTTGCTGCTGAGTGCTCTGCCTCCCCACTCAGCCAAGCCCTGTGGTTTGTTGAGCTTACCTCCACTCTTCTGCCCTGGGAAGCCCCATCACTGAATTGGCTGGACTGAATTTCAGGGGCGAGAGGGAGGCACCAGGAGGAGACACCACTTCTCTCAATCTTTTCTCCTCCCCTAGAACTCCAGCAGGTTAGGCAATTGGCCAGAAGAGCTGAGCCAGAGAAACTGCAGGGGAGGGTTTAAAAATGTGAGATCCCCATGACTGCACACAGAATTTATGCAAATTGCAAAAAACCCTCTTATGCAACATAAAGCTTGAAAAAAAAATCAAGCAAAAATAAGAGAATTCCATTTAGGAAATTCTGTAAATTATTAAAGGAGGAGAATTAAGATTTCTAGAGGGGTTTCAACCTCCTGACTTTGCAAAGCTGAGAAGAGATAGTCCATTTAATGACATCTACAGGGCACATCAGTGTGTCTTTCATATAGTGACTTCAGTTAAAGAAGCCCTCACTAAAAATGTGTTTTTAATGAGTAAGTTACTGATTACTACTTAAAAAAATAATTATCTGTTCCCTTTACTGGAGAGTTATCCAACTAAGAATGTCAGTCTTCACAAGAAAAAGTATTTTTCTCATCTCTGCAAAACTAAACAATATTAACAATAACCCACGAAAGGACTGAATTTAAAAATCCAGGAGTGAGAACAGCAGGAAAGGGAAACTCAGATCACTGGGAAAAAACATTAAGCATTTAAGTTGTTAAGCAATTCACAAAGAAAGCAAGAACTCAGCTAACCATTATTCAAGTTGCTTAAAAATTAAGATATTTCATTATAGTTCTTCAAAAACTCAGGATAAACCTTTTAATCCTTTCAGATGACTCACTGTAACACATGCAAGATCTTAATTATTTAGTTCACCTTTGAGGTCAGGCCTACCTTACAAGTAGGAGCTGAAAAGAGACTGAAATAAAAGCATGCTGTTAGACTGGTACCTTAAAAAAAATAATAAAAGAAAAAAAGAATAAACATTTTGAGATACCTTCAATGGCAATGCGCTTTTTGGGCCAATCCTTTGATTCTCGAGATATTGATTCTTTGACACGGATACTGATCACTAAATCAGCCAAATTAAATTCTAAAGCATAGAATCGCAGCAGTTCCACCCAGAGCTGCCCAACTGGTACTGAAGGCTGGTGTTTTGTATCAAATATTAATGATACCTATTAATATCAAAGAGAAATATATTGGTTACTTCARGTGTTGGCTCAATCTGAAAAATTAAAGATCATTTGAGCATTAAATTAAAAAACCTGGAAAATCTGAGCAAAGATAGAAATTTGACATCTAGACAAATCACTCTGTATGTGGGAAAATAGCAAAACTTCACTGCATCCCTGACATTTGGGTAGGTTAAAATCTAGTCAGTACCATGGAACAGACAGGACCAATTTTAATTAATCAGACAGCACCGAATTTTGAAATTTTAATAATAGGTGGATAGGACCTTGCACAGTTTGCTAATACTCTCAGCATGGACCTTCACCTGTTACTGCTGCTGGAAGGCACCTTTATATGGATACATGAAAATGTAGTAGCTAAAGACAGAGAAAAAGAAAACCAATACTCTCATTGCCCTGATATGCTACATAAGTACACTAAATCTGCCAGTGGCAATTAAAGTCAAATAACTATAAAAGAAATTGATACTAGTTCTACAGTCACTGACTTGACAAGTTCAAATAACATACTTCCTATAATATTTTGGGAAATACACAGAAATCAGAATGGGGGAGGGAAGGGCCCAAACAGTGATTCTGCCATTTCATAGCTCTTGATTGCTCTGTAATTTAGTGTTTTCATTCTCAGACTGGCAGTATTGCACAATGGCTAAGTGAACCGGCTTTGGAATTGGAACAATCTTAGTTTGAAATCCAAACTCTGCCAAGTACTAGCCGTGTATGATCCTGATCAATGTCTATAACCTAAGACTTGGTTTCCTCATCTGACAAATGGGGATAATAGTACCCACCTCATTGGGTTGTTGGGAGGACTGAGTGAGATAGTGTCTGTAAAGTGCTTAGCACAGTGCCTGGCACACAGTGTTCAAAAAATGGTCGCTATCATTATCTGCAGAGTAGGGATGATACCACCTATAACACAGGATAGTTATGAGGATTAAATAAAAAACAAGGGAAAGCATCTGGCAGACTTGGTTGCTTTCTGTATTTTTTCACTCAGGTAGTCTTTAAGTACAAGAAATTCATATATCACTGAAACAATGTCACAACAGTAAGATGCTCTTAAAGGTAATCTAGTGAAGAAGTCCACATGTTAAAAGGAACTAAAGCCCCAAACGTTTTCGTGACTTGTCAGAAGGTTGCACTGCTTGTAGGTGGCGTGAGAACTTCTGACCCCAATACATTGTTTTTCTCACCATAGCATATGCAACTTCTACAAAGTCTAGAGCTCACTTAATTTCAGATATGGCAGCATGACTAACCTTTCCAAAGAACATAAAAATATAAAAGAAAAGTATTAAATGGACTTAGAGAAATAGCTTTTTCTTCACATTAGTTTTATAATTCACATTGAAAAAATTCTTTCCTTAAGTATACAAATTTGTCTCCAATCACACTTACTAAATCAGACTTTAAAACAAGTGGTATAGTAGTTTATTCATGGATAAATCTTAACCACAAAGGGTCTTAGAGTAAGATAAAGTCATCTGGTAGGTAGACTTACAAGGCAGAACTGATAGATACTTGAAGTTGTCTGGGTCCCGATTACCAGAATTGAGGACACAAAGGAAACGCCCAGAAATTGAAAGCCTTATTAAATTTCACCTCTCATCCACAGCCTTTTTCAGCTTTACAAAGGATTTTTAAGAATCTCACTGAAATAACTTGAAAACACTTTAACATGGAACTTTAAAATATCTAGATTACCATCAATAAAATTGTTTAGAAGTAGAGAACATTTCTTTTTTTTAATAAAGTAAGAATAGTGTAGGTAACATTTCCTGAGTGCTTACCACATGCTTGGCACTGAGTTAAGCATTCTATAAATCAATGACCCTATGAGAGGGTACTAATATTATCCTCATTTACAGGGAGGAAACTGGGGCATGGAAAAATTAAGTAACTTGCCAAGGACATATAAGTGGGAGAACTGAGAATATCTGCATATCTGGCTCCACAACCTGTGCTCTTATCCACAACTGGAACCCCCAATAGAAAACAGACAAAAGTGGTGGTGTTCTGGTGCCAGCAAGGCTGGGGTGGCATCTCCTCCTTCCTGCTCCAATGCTTAAGACATTCTAGGAAACACAACCGGAAAATCTATGATTCACCACTATCTCTTCATTTTAGGAACAAGTAAACTACGGACTGGAGGAATGATATGATTTGTTTGTGTAGAGATGGGATTAGATTTCTGGCATCAGAAGTATTTCATGAATATTACTGTCATTGGGTCTAGGACCATTCACCAATTTGGGACAGAATAGTGCGACCTGTATAATCTGTGTACAGATTTTTTTTGTTGGAAACTCTAATGGTAATTCTTTACACATAGATTTTTTTTAATGCATCTCCAATAGTATGGGACCAGTACATTAAATCATAAGCTTATTTACTGTTATTTCAGTCCTTTGAAGTTAACATTCCATAGATTTAAAACCTCAAATACAATTTAAGACCTAGCTCTTTTGAGGATACACAGGGATTTTCTTTGAATTCTCAGTATTTTTCTAAGGCCTCTGTACAAAGAATAAACCATATAAATAAATTTAATGATCAATTTTTAAAAATCTTTTTTTTCCACATTACTTTTAAAAATCTTTTCATAATTTTTAAACATTTTTCATGTTGATTATTCAATGGACTAAACAGATTAGGAAATGAAATAACCATGAAATACTTACGATAGTTAAGGAAAAACAGGAAAACTGACTAACTCATAAACACCACAATTGATAACTAAAATAAAAATCAACAGTAAAACTAGAAATAAGAGAACAGACCTGCCCCCTTTTAATTGGCCTTTCTTTTGGTGACTCTTCTTTTGCTGTGTTTGTATCCCCAACATTATCAGTGTATTCCCAGACCACAAAGTCTTTCTCAACGTCTTTAAGGTTGAAGTTCGTAAGTTTGTTTAACGAGAATCCTTCAATCTAGGAAAAAGTAGACATCTATTATTATAAGGTAGAAACCATTTTTGTATTGATTTGAGCATTTAATGTTTGAAGAAATGAAAAAAGTTAATATATTCCAAGTTCACTGAAAATATAAAAGATATTGTTTGTGGAATATTTTTAAGATAAACATAAATTTAAAAATATTTTTAGCTGGGTTCTGTGGTACATGCCTGTGATCCCAGCCATTTAGGGAGGCTGAGGCAGGAGGATTGTAAGCCAGCCTCAGCAACTTAGCAAGGTCCTAGGCAACTTAGTGAGCCCTTGTCTCAAAATAAAAATTAAAAAGGGCTGGAGATGTTGCTTAGTGTTTAAGCAACCCTGGAATCAATGTCCAGCACCAAAAAATGAAACAAAAGAAAACCCAACAACAACAACAAAAATCTGCAATCAAAGTAAAAAAGAAGATTCTGATGATTCTGATTTGCAAAAGAAATGGCAAATTTTTGTGTTTTTTGTTTTGTTTTGTTTTAAGCGGTGMTAGGGAACAAACCCAGGGCCTTCCACATGCTAGACAAATGCTCTACCACTAACTACACCTTCAACCCTTTATAATTCTTTAGTAAATATTCTGAATTGAGGATGTACTTCGGTGGTAAAGCACTTCCATAGCAAAGGCTTTGGTTCAATCCCCAGCACTGTAAAACCAAACCAAACCAAACCAAACCAAAAAGTTACGACAACAAAATTTCTGAGAGGGCAACATGGCATAGTGACTAAAGCCATGAGTTTTGGAGTAAAACTCACTGGTCCCAAATCTTGGATCCTCCAGGCACCTACTCTCTTTAGGTCTCAATTTCTAGTAAAATGGGATAACACTAGAACTTCCTTCATGGGACAGCTCTGATATATACGCTGCATGTAGAAATACTCAATAAATCCAAGAAACTGTCATGATCAATATCGTAGAGATATAAGTGTAAAAACAAAATTCTCCTAATTAGAATTTTTCTTTTTTCATTGTACTAGGAATTGAACCCAGGGGATTTCTACCACTGAACGATATTATCGATCTTTTTATTTTTCTTTTGAGATACAGTCTCCTTAAGTTGCCTAGCCTGGCTTGAACTTGCAATCCACCAGTCTTTGCCTACCTAGTAGGTAGGATTACAGGCATAGGCCATTGTGCCTGGCTGGAAACTATTTCCAATATTTTAAATTCTAGTTGAGCCCAAAGGTTTCAAAATACAGTTTAATGTACTATTAATAAATGCAAAAGAAAATGGTCTGGGCTCCAAAGTTCTGAGAAATATTAACAGAGTTGAACAGGTCTTTTTTTTTTATTATATAATGGACTCATTACATAATAAACAAGTTAGTGAACATAATAAATTGTGGGATGAGGTGTGTGGATAAGGTTTTCCAAATTTATTTCTACTCCAAAGAGTGATCCCTCTGAAACATAAGACATCGTGTCACACTCTTCTGCTCATTGTGGTTTCCTTCTTATTTCAGAGAAAATTCAGTCCTTCCAGGGTCTATGTAATCTTGCTCTTGGCTGTTTCTCAGAACCATAGTCTATCCTTCTGATTTGGAACTAACATCTTCTCTTCCCTCTGCCTGGAATACTCTTCCTGCTATCTGCCGCAACCCGGCTGGGCACAGAATCACGAGCCACTCAAGCAGGAACAAAACTTTATTTTTGAAAAAGCCGCCAATACCCCGTACGCATCCGGCTAGCAAGCTGGTCCACACACGTGGTTGCGTCTCCCGGAACCGGGGCCCAGGACCTCCCCTGGCTAGCTGGCAGTCACCTTAACCAAAGGTGCCATGCATCATAATACTTTGCTGTGGCTCCTAGCAGCTATCAGTCAATTATATGACTCAACTTCCCAATCTTATTTAGACTCTGTTCTACTAATTTTTTTTCTAGTATCTTCCTGCTTTTCACTCTTAATTCAATGCCCATTATGATTAACTTCAATTATATCAAGGTCTAATAACAATACAATGGGAAATCTGACTGGGAGTAAAAGATTGGAGATTATCTAGCCAAGGTGGAAGAGATCTGAGTACAACTGGGAAGAGAGGCTAAAAACTTCGAGAAAGATAAATCAGAGCACAGGAGCACAATATACTAAATTTCCTGATAAGAGAATTTAGTCTTGTTCATTTTTATATTCTCTTCAAGGCCTGGTACAATGACTAGTGTACATAGTACTTTAATTATGAGGACCTTGAAGGAGTTTATGCAGAAGTGATGTAGGTGAAATATCTGGTAAGAATAATATTAATTCCTTTCCCCCTCATTTGCTTTATTTACTTTTCTTGATTAAGCTGCTGGCAGCAGCCACTAAACCAATGCCTGTATAGTTTATAACCTGCAGATCATTTTGGTTCATTAAGTAGATTATTTGATCCATAGACTCAACCCAGTGTTTGATCATCATGTACCTGTTTTTGTCATTAAGTCTTGGGAAAAAAGTTAAATGATACAATCAAAATAAATTCAGAGTTGCTTCAGAGAGTTTCTAGTTTCACTGCAAAGGAAATTATACATTGGCCATAGAATAAAGTATTCATAATACTCTTAAGGAAGAGAAACAGCTTTTGTCCTACATCCTCACATCACTGACAAATGACTATTTAGAGAGGATCAGTACACATGAAAAGGCAGCTCTTACTCAGTTAGACATTTATGTGCAAAGCCAAATATCCAATTTATTTCCAGGCCCTTTTGTGTCCAACTGTTTTGGTCCCATCCTAAACTCCTATCTCTCTTGGGACAAGATGAAAGGAAAACTTCAAACAGTTTACCAAATTCCTTCTAGGGTGTGGATGACTTTGTTCTCTTGTTCTTTTTGGATGGAGAGTAATCTGGCAGAGATACTCTCTTGGTAGTCCTGAATCCTTTCTTCTCAGTGTCATAGCTACAAAGAGTTACCATTAGACAACTAAGATATAGAGCATACTTTAATCCCTTGTGTCAGGATAAAGTTTGCAAGTGGTTTATTCTACTTCAGTTTTTTATTACTGGGGCCTGCTAGACAAAGTCTCCACTTAATTCTGTTTACTAAATATAAAGAAAAAATGTCTTAAAATCACACACACACACACACACACACACACACACACACACACAAATATGCCTCAGATAAGAACTACCACTCTAGAACCTACTTTTTTTGGTGTGTGTGTGAGGGGGAAAGTACTAGGGATTGAACCCAGGGGCACTTTACCACTGAGCAAGATCCTTAGCCCTTTTATTTATTTATTTTTTAAATTATGAGAAAGGATTTAAATTGCCCAGGCTGGCCTCCAACCTGTGATTTTCCTGCCTTATCCTCCTGAGTTGCTAGGATTACAGGCATGTGATACCATGGCCAAATGAACATCTTCTTCAAGAGAAGACTGTGTGCTATTAAGACAAAAAGCAGTGAAAATATTCAATGTGTAAAAGTAAGCTTTTCAGTAAGTAAGGCTTTCTATAAAATACCTACACATATAAGAATATACCAAGAAAAACATGTAGAGATTAAAAATGGTTCCAGAAGCAATAGCATAATTTTGACCTTTCAGTGGCTTCTTAAAACTTATTAAACAAATCAACTCAATTGTTTTTCATGTTTTTTTTCCTACATTTTTTTTTTTTGGTGCATTATAGTTGTATATAACTGGGATTTGTTGTTATGTATTTGCACACGCATATAACAACGTAATTTGGCTAATGTCATTCTTCAGTATTTCCCCTTCCCACCCCCTGGTCCCTTTCCTCTACTCTGATTTCCCTTTGATTTTCATACTACTCCCTTACCCCCACTTTTCTTTTCCTTTTTCCTCTCTAGCTTCTACACACGAGAGAAAACATACAACCCTTGACCTTCTGAGTTTGGTATATTTTGCTTAATATAATGTTCTCAAGTTCCATTCATATCCAGCAAATGACAAATTTTATTTATCTTTATGGTGGAATAAAATGCCATCGTGTATAAATACCACATTTTCTTTATCTATTCATCTGCTGATGGACACTTAGGCTGGTTCAATAGTTTGGGCAGATATAAATTGTGCTGCTATAGACATGAGTGTGCATATATTACTATAGTATGATGACTTCAATTCTCTAGGATATGTACTAAAGAGTGATATAGCTAGTCACATTGTGGTTCCATTACTAGTCTTTTGAGAAACCTCCAGACAAATTTCCATAATGGTTCAAATAAACTCAACTTTAATTTTTTTCAGGTCTTGCTAAGTTGTCTAGGGTAGTCTTTAACTCATCATTCTCCTGCCTCAGCCTCCTCAACTTTAATTTATCCAGATTACATTATTATTTTTTTTAAAAAATATTTTTTAGTTGTCAGTGGAGCTTTTTATTTATTTATATGTGGCACTGAGAATTGAATCTAGTGCCTTACACATGCTAGGCAAGCACTCTACCACTGAGCCACCACTCCAGCCCCTCCAGATTACATTATTAAAGTCTAATTCACCTTAAAGATAAAACCAAAATATTATTGAAGAGTTGACTATAAGCTCTGCATCTTGTATAGTTTGTAATCTTGATGCTTTTATTGTTTTACAAGGTCATGGGATATAAAGAGAAGCAAAAAACCAGAAATAGAAAGTAAGCTACACTGGTCATGGTAGTATATGCATGTAGACTCAGTTACTCAGGAAGTTAAGCCAAGAGGGTCATTTGAGCTTAGGATTTTGAGGTTGGCCTAGGCAACATAGCAAAAATCCATATTCATTCATTCATTCATTCATGTATACGTACATGAATGGAAGTCCATTTCAGAGACACAAATGCTTCATATACTGTCTGAAGATGATATATAAGTTTAAGTATCAAATTAGAGTGCTATACACAAAGAATGTATCAAATGATAAACTTAACATAGGTTCAAAGCCCCTTGTTTGAAATCTTCAGGTCCACAAGTGTTTCAAAAACTAAGATTTATAGGCTAAAAATGTAGTAATAGCCCTAGCAAGGTATAGATCGGCATCTTGTAATCATATTAACATTTCAGCAATGAAAGATGTGAATACCAGTAAAACAAACAAATCTATTTTACTTCTGGTTAGCTTTTTAAATTTTGAAATTATGCATAAGGAGTTGTAGATCTATAATCAATCAATTAGATATATAAGCAAAAAGTTTCATACCCATGATCCTAGATAAACTGGCAGAAGAGGTTCTTTCCTCTGTTGAAGAAAATAAATGGCCATAAGGGCAAACACATAAGGTGGCAGGCCTCCTTCCTCAGGGCGATCTATACTGCAAAGCTATAAGTGAGAGAAAAGAGAATTTGCATTTTTTTTTTTTGCATCAATTTGTGATTTAAATAACCTGGCCTAAAACCTGCAATCCATTCCCATATTATAATGGTTAATCAGAATTGTCAACTTGATTGGACTAAGAGAAACCAGAGGGTGTGTTGATGACTGTGTGTCTAGGAATAACTGGCATGTGGAATAGCCAAATAAAATGGAGACCCTCCCTAAGCGAGGGCAGCACCATCCAATAAGATGATGGTTTGGATGAAATAAAAGATGGAAGAACATGGCAGCAACAGCAGATACAAGCTTGATTCTTCATGATTGAGTTCTTGACTGCAGCCGTGATTGATGATGTAGGACTCTCACTTTTTCACTCTTCCAAAGTGGATTCTGTCAGTGATTCTCCAGAAGCCTTCAGTCTCAGACTTGTTCTGGGGCTTCAGCTCCTTGGACTGAGCAGTTGCTGGTTCTTCCAGCTCTCTGCCTGTAGACGACCACTGTGGACTATCTAGCTTTTGGTCGCCTGAGAAATTCTCTTTTTGTAATTATACTTCCTGCTGATTCTGTTCCTCTAGGGAACCCWGACTAATACACATATATTATATGATATATAGTGATTATTCTGAATAAAGCAGCACAATGAAGGGCAGGGGTATAGCTCAGTGGTAAAGCATTTGTCCAGCATGTATAAGGCTCAAGATTTGATCACCAACTCCATAAACAAACCAAAAAACAAAGCAACAACAATCCCTCCCCCCCCAGCACAGTGCTACAAATAGACAACTTCCTATTCCTTTGCAGTAACCACATACTGTGGTTTTGAATCAGTTTCAATTTCAAATATTTAATCTTGTTAACTTACTCATGGAAGGCCCTAAAATACTATTTACTGTTTCATTTTTTTTGACATCTACAATAAATCCACTCACTTAGTTAAGACACATGTTAATGAAATACAAATGATAGTTCAGTTCCACTGATTTAGCTTAGTTTAATGGTCCTCTCAACTTTTACGGTCCTGCAAATGCATGCTTTGGTCACAAAGGCAATTTGGGAAGAGAATGTTGGCAAACCCACCAGCACTAATTAAAATAACACCTAAAAGAGCATGACCGGGGCTGGGGATGTGGCTCAAGTGGTAGCGCGCTCGCCTGGCATGCGTGCGGCCCAGGTTCGATCCTCAGCACCACATTCAAACAAAGATGTTGTGTCCGCCGATAACTAAAAAATAAATACTAAAATTGTCTGTCTCTCTCTTAAAAAAAAAAAAAAAAAGAGCATGGCCTACATAGTGATGAAGCAGAAGAGAGTTTTCAAAGAGGAGCAAATTGTAATTATTAAGTCATTCAGCAAGAGTGGGGTATCCTGTGTTGATCCTGGATCCAAGAAATTGGAACTATCTCTTATCACTGTTATACCTCAATCAGTAAGATTTTTGCTTTTCTTTATATAAGGCATCTTATAGAATATCAATTTTATCATTATGATTTGACCTTATACTATGGGGGAATATTAAGTGCTCTAATGTTTATTACAGCATATCAACTGGGAGAATGTATTTAAAACATTGTAGAAATAGGCAAGACCAGATATAGTATTTTTCATTTCTTTTTGTAATCCTTGGATTTCTTCTTGAAAATGGTATGAGAATCATTTTCTAAAACTTTACTGTGCCTAAGTATTACCCTGGGAAACTAGTTAAGATTGTAAATTCTTTGGCTACTTCCTTTGGGATTTGACCCAAATCTGACTTCTAATAAGCATTATAAGTCATTTTGATCTTTTAAGCAATACTGTTGTAACGAAAGAGAAACCTTAAATTTTCCTTCCGTATAGTGTTTCTATTCCAATATTCAGATACTTTCTCTTTTGATGTCTAYAGGTATTTTTCTAAACATTTAAGGTTAAATGAACCCAGTAAAAATTAAAGCACAGTTAAGTTCATAGAATACACACATGCATTTAATGAAGTCTAACTTACCTTTGCCCAGTACCTAAATGCAATCACCAAAGGAACCAGCTTTGGTTCTAGTTTTCCGAGTGCAGTTAAGTGTTTTGTTGTCAGACAAGCATTTTCATTTCCTGCACTCACTTTACAAAGAAGACCACTGGTGGGTGTGCCGGTGAAGATGGGAATGAAAAAGAAAGAGAAAAAGTGTGTTACATAGGTATCAGTACGTTTTTACACCAGTAGCTAATTTACACTGATAATAACTTTTTTTAAAAAATGAAAAAAAAAAAAACCCCTAAAACTCCCTACATCTTCATAGGTCATTTAAAAATACTGAATTAAAAAAAAAAAAAAAGACAGGACAGTTACTTATTGAACAAACTAAATTTTCAGAAGAACTCTGTTTTAATATGCTAAAATTATTTTTGGGGGGAACATGCAAATAAGGAAAATATTATGAAATATTTCAAATGGGTGCATGACTTGTCTCATTTTTTCAAATGGTGTTTTGACAAGAGTTAAGGAATTTGTTGGTGAAGAGTCATTATTGCTTATAAGCTACCCATTCATGGTAGTGATAGTTATGTTTCCAGATGGAGGGAGACCTATACACAGGAGGTCACATTAACAGCTATTCAGCACTGCCACAAATGCTGGTAAAAAGGATGGCAAGTAAAAAGTGATTAGAGTAAGTAACCATTTGATAAGGTTGTTTTTTTTACTTAGTTAAAATGGGTCAAATGCTTCCTTATAATTTTTCCTTCTAGGTAATTTTACTCTTTTTAAAATAAGACTTCCTTCCCTCTCTTGCATCAAATGCCAAAGTATAGAGAGAATGCTAGTAAGAAACGTGAGATAACCATGTAAGGTATAGCTTATAACTTCAAAGTTGGAATTAAGATTTAGCAAAGTCCTTGTGCTTTTGGCAAGCTGATTGCTAATGATCAGCTTAAAGAAACAGAGACCTTTGCTTTTCTCTGCATACTACCACCGGTACCCTTGCATGGAAATCTGCGTCAACATCAATAAAGGAGTCTGAGGAAAGAAGAAAACACATGTTAAGTAGGTTAATTAAAGCTTTGTTACAAGCAAAATGAGATAAAGTACAAGTACCCAAGTACCCTGTGTGGCTTATCTATTCAGCCATTTTGAAAGACAACTACTAAATAAAATTCTGAAGGGATTTGAAAAAAGAAAAAAAATGTTATATTCAAGAATCAAGTAATCACATTAATTTAAAATCATTATTTTATAAAGCTTATGTTTAATTAAAAGTAACTACGCCAGTGAATCACAACATTTAAATATTATGAGGGTAACCTAATTAGAAATATAAACATGATTTAAAAACAAAATTGATACAAAGGCTACTGAAATCTTCAGTGTCAAAATATGTATTGACTAAAATAAGAAATATTTAAATGTTTTATTCAATCAAAACAAAAAGGACAGGGGATGACTACTTCAAGGGAAAATTAGTGAGGTTATGAAAGCAAAAAAAGTCATAAAGCTCTAAGTTGGACAGTATATTGGAAAAGGCAACTGATAAACTTACATGGGAACAACTATTTATGAATTCATTAATCAGGATTGGGCCACACTTACTGCACCTTTATAAAACATTAATTTGAACCACTAGATACAGTATATTATTCTTTAATTTCACTCTCAAGACTAAATTATGCATATTTTGCATTTCTTCGTCACACTCTAAGACTCATTTAAGCTTTAAAAATTTTTTCTTGTAGTTGTAGATGGACAGAACACCTTTACTTGTTTATTTTTATGTATTTGCTAAGGATCAAACTCAGTGCCTCACATATGCTAGGAAGTGCTCTGCCACTGAGCTACAGCCCAAGCCCTCATTTAATCTTTATAGTGATGTCATCAGCAAGCTAAAAGCTTTACTTTGAGACATAGAACTACTACTAGAATGGTAACTAGTTAATAAATCATGGCCATTTGCTTTTGGATATTACACTTATCAATAATTTTAAGGAGAGAGGAAGGGAGGGAAAGGAAAGTTACTGGGGAATGAAATTAATCAAAATATGTTATGTGCCTGTACAAATAAGGCATAATGAATTCCACTATTATGTATAATTATAATGTAACAAAAAAGCAAAAGAAAAAAAACTTTAAAGACATGACTTTCTATTTTCAGAGTTTGAGTGATAAGTTATATAAAATTTATAGACAAAAGAAAATATTAAGAGCAAAGTGTACAAAGAATTTGACCTTACCACTGTTCTTTAAACATTCTTGAACAATTAAGAGGACATCTGGCTGAGACATCTAGAAAATAAATGAATGAATACATGAAATAATCCCTAAATAATTTTGCTTCACGATAAAATACACAGTCTAGAGTTCCCAATATTGCTTCCCAAATTAGAAATGAACATTGGTACCAGAATAAAGAACTAATCATTATGCAGTGTCTATGTATGTCAAAGACAGAAAGACAGTGAAAACCAAATGAGGATGAGTGTGGGCAAGAGACCTACTATACATTTAATTCCTGGTTAATTAATTCTTGAGGTAATTGGCTTTCTAGAAAATCTCGAAGTGGTAGCTGGAAGTTGTTATACTACTAATGACATTTCCTCTCACTCTGCAAGACTATTACAACAGATAGCTTACTGGTTCCAACTCTAAATCTTGTTCCACAGTGGAATCAAAACCATTAAAAATCATGAACTGGATTCTTAAAACATATCAGTGACTTTTCACAGACTGTAGATGAAAGTAAAATTCTTACCATGGCCTATGAGATCCTGCATATTGGGCCTCAGTCTACCTTCCATCCTAATCAGAGTTCAGCTTAAATGTTCTCTCTTCAATGAGGCCTCCATGACTGTGGCATCTCTTCACAGTACCTGTTTTCTGTTATGGAACCCTATTTTTCTGCACAACTCTCATTATAATTAATAATATAAGTAACTACTTATCTCCTTAACTAGATATGCGTTCTGTGAAAGAGAAACTGCATTTGTTTTTTCCTTTAGAATTGAGTATAGTACCTGCCATACAACAGGTATTTAGTGAATATTTGTTAAATGAATGAATGAATGATGCCAGAAAAAAATAACTGCTATGGTTAGTAATTTCACTGATCAGAATTTAAGATTAAAAGAAGAGCAAAGTCCACTGGTTAGCTGACTAAGTAACTACATTACTCAGAGCAAGGAACAAGAGACTATAAAATAGAATATTGGGGATGGAATCTCAAAGTCTATACTTTTAATGAGTAACCAAAGTAGGATACACCTCTGCAAAATGACCTATGAGAATGACGAAGTGGGTAAACAGATAATCTACTTAAGTTCCTTCCAGTTTTATATTCTGACTGTCAATGTCTTTTTAAATTATATTTAACCCAGAAATCGAGGCTGGGTGTGGTTGTTCAAAAAAAATATTTTAACAAAACTGATATATAAAAATAGGAAATTCAGAAGCTCATTAAGCTTTCAGACCATAAATGTTTAAAAATCTACACTGTTTAAAACCTGAATTCCTTTCCTATTAATGGAAAGTTGATTTTACCAAGAATTTAAGCTTTCCAAGCTAACAGAAATCTAAATATCCCCATAAGATTCACATGGTTAGAAAACCAGTGTTACAAGTAAGTACTAAAGATCTGTAGTGTAAAATAAACAAGATTGAAAATCTATGGAGCATAAGAATTCTCTGAACCTGAAGCTGAAAACAGGCAAGACATAAAAATGGAACTTTTAAGAAAACAGGTGTCACCATTAAAGTATCTTTATGTATCTAAAATATATTCATACACAGTTCAATTTGAAAGAAAGGATTTCCATACCACTGAAAATTTCAACATTTCATTTTGTACTTACAATGGCTGGAAATTGAATGTCAATGTTTACATCCGAATTTTTGAAACCCAATCTGCTACAGGACGACCCATATAATCTTAGAGAACAATCTACAAATAAATAAATACATAGAAGGAATAAATAGAGTAAAATTTCTCAAAAAGTTGTAACAAAACACTGCTATTTCAGAAATGGAACCATCAATTAAAACTACATACAAAAGCAAAACTGTAATGTATGTCACCAACTTAGGACAGGAATAGGTGGCTATTTGCTCATCCCTTAATTTTATGTAACAGGGAAGACAGCAATGACTGGTTTAGTTTAATGACTATTGCTCTCATGTCAGTTGCAAAACACTTTAAATAAAAATTTTTATTTTATCACTTTTGCATTTTGTGTAGAAAACTATTGGCAATGACTTTCAAAATAAGAAAGCTGAAAAGGGATGTCTATTTTACACTTATAAACTTTATAGTATAGTCAAGAGCTAATGCAAATATTTTTTGTTACTTATTTTATAATACAAATTACTCACAAACAAAAAGTATTTGATATAATGCAATCCCTTGAGAAAAACTTGCAAAATAATTACAATATAACCGATATCTTAATATGCTAGGCAGTATACATTTCCTTTTCAGAGAAGGATATAAGTGTTCACATGTGTATCTTCCATATGTATTTATGGAATTTATTTTCAATATTTTACTATTTTGCCAAAATATTACCCATTCTTATCAAGAGGACATTTTCTTCCTTCAAGTTTGCCAATTCAATTCAAGTGATTTCTTTGGGGTTTAAGATGCATATTTTTTTCTTCAGATGGGGACTTACTATGTTGTCCAGATTGGACTCAAACTCATGCCTTAGCCTCCTAAGTGCTGGGACTACAGTTGTGAATCATCATACCTGGCTTCAAGAGTTTTCTATTAACAATCAGGTGTGATAGTCCATATGTCTACAATCCCAGTGACTCAGGAGGTTGACACAGGAGCATAAAGAGGCCAGTGTGAGCAATTTAATAAGATCCTGCCTCAAAATAAATAAATAGATAGATAGATAGATAGATAGATAGATGGAGCTGGGAATGTAGATCAGTGGTAGAGCACTTGCCTAGCACATGGTAGGCCCTAGGTTTAATCCCCCAGTTCTGCAAAAATTTATAAATAGGAGTTTTCTATAAAAAAATTTAACTTTACATGGAATTTCATAGCAAAAATCAGTGAAATTAAAATTTACTATTTGGGAGATACCTATGTATTGAAATGAGTTGAACTTCCCTCCTATTCTTATAAAAGTTATATGTATATGTATCCATGTATACATGTTATAAATACTTGCATGATCTCCAGGAACAAATAGTTTAAAGAATTATAAGGTGATATATACATAATGAGTCTAGCCCTGTGAATCAGAATCACTTGTGAAACTTTCTAAATGTAATTGTCCATGACTCCACAGATAACTCTTATTTATGGCAAGAATTGAAGATGATTAAGCTATTCCAATCATTTATCTAAATAGGAAGGCCAATGACCTTTCATTGGCAAGGGTTGTTCCTATCAAGACTAGCAGCTGCAGTGTCAAKCATTTACCATACCCAGCCTTAAATTTTTATAAGCAGTTTACTCCAAACATTGTATTCCCTCCCCTATTTTGCACTAAAGCTACATGAAAAATAATGCAAGTCAGTGATGTGTGCCCGTAGTTCCAGCTACTCAGGAGGCTGAGGCAAGAGGATCATTTGAGTCCAGGAGTTCAAGGTGAGCTTGGGTGACTCAGTGAGACCTCTGTCTCAAAAAATTAAATTAAAAATTGATATAATTTCAAAATATCAACTGAACAGCATACAAAACCCATTATAAATTATTTATAAACTAGTTTTTCAAAGCTCTTTTAGATCCTCCTGACTCAGCCTACTGAGCTGCTGGGATTATTTGCACCACTGTGCCCAGCTATTTTAATTAAAAAATATTCTGTCAATTCAGATGGAAAGGTAAACAAATACATACAAGAGTCCCACAGTGCCCCAATATAGGGCAATTAACCATACTGAATTTTATAACAGAATAATATTTATAATGAAAACAGGTTCACAGTGGCAATGTTTGTTTAAAGTCTGTTACCTTTGGAGAAGCCAGGAGAAATAACAACCAAACACAATAACAATAAACATACTCACTAAGGAAAAAAGCTTCAGTACATAACAAATGAATTTTTATGAGGTGAAAATTACTTGAAATATGAACGAGTTACTTTTAAGTAGCTAAATAGAAAAAAGAAATCTAGAAAATACCTGGTAACTTGTGCTGGAACACATTTTCCATGATACATTTGATTTCTAGCCTCTGTTCCAAATTCTCATTGTGTAAGCCAAACTCCTGTACCACTTTGTCAATGGCAATGCCAATTGCATTTATCTGGGAGGGTGTTGGCGGGGGTAACGTAGTGAGCAACTCTTCCTCCTGCTTCTCCTTTTAGGATCAATGTTCAAATTAAAAATGGCTCATACATAGGTTTTACCTTTTATGTTTCACTGAGACAACACCCTATAGAATTTTCAGGAATCTGTTTTTAGCCCTCCTTTTCATCTTAGCTCTTTGTCTTTATTGTAACAAACATATACACACTTTATGCATATAATTTGGATCAGTGAAAATAGAGAGTAAGCAGGAACAAGGAGAAAGTGTAAGAAAAGAACATTAAAACCAGTAATGACAGTCTGATTATTTTTTTTATTACTGTCATAAGGACACATATAGGTCCTAACTGTGATTTCCTATACCCTGATTTTATACTTAAGGAAATTCAAAAGATTGCCCCAAAAACACATCTGATTAATTAAAAGTATTTTGGTTAGAACAATTTCAAGAAGTTAATTAAAGTTTTTAATATTCATAGCTTTAAGGAGAAGAAAAATGACAATGACAACTGATACGTAAAAACAACAGTTTGGGTCACATAAAACTTACCTTAATGTTTTTCTTGTGCCTCTTCTCTTTGATATGCTTATGAGCAAATGCAATGGATTCAATTAAAACATCACAGAGTTTGCAGGTGTATTTTGCTGTAGGGCAGTTTCGTGGTCGCTATAATTTAAACAGATTGATCAAAAGGTATATCTCCAAACATCCAGGGGAAAAAAATAAGCCAGAAAAATGATTTCCCCTTCAGTTTAAAAACTTGATACTATGTCACTGTCTTGTTTTATCACTATCTTAATAGTAATTTTTAATTAAGTACAATTGCAAATATTTGGAATTCTATTACCTCATACTGAATATACTTTTCAATGTGTAACACTTAAATACTGATAATCCAAGTAGTATACCTCAAAAGGGAGGTGGGCTTATTTGTATGATGGGCAGGTCCTAGGACTTCAGAACATGTGAAAAAAAGTTTTAACCCCCAGAAGGAAATAAAATCACTGAATTACAAGGGGAACTTTTTGACAATGCAAAGTGCCACAACAGGGTACAATAATTATCCCAAAAGATTCCTCAGGACAAAAGAAGACTACCTAGAGAAGTTAGGAGGTGATTAGAGGAGAAGCCATATTCTAAAGTATTTCTTACAGGATGGGGCTGAGGAAGGAGAGATTTAAGGGAGGAGGTTTCATGGTATGGCAAGTTCATTAGTATATTTTCAGAATAATATGCCTGTTAAAAATAAACACTTGTTATTTTAACCTTAAAAAAGTAGGGTACCGAATTCACCAAAGCTGGTATTTCCAATTACTAACACAGTTTAAACCAGAACAAGGATTTTTATTAGCAAATACATGCTCATAGCTGTTACCCTTTTTAGCCTGTCAATGCAGTCTCTCCTCAAACGCTCCTCAGCCTGCTGTAAGCCCAGTAGCTCCTTTGTCGAAAGCACAGACTCGTCAATCACAGGGCCTTCCAACTCTCCATCCTGTTCATTTTCCTCATTTCTAGTCCTCCGTGGTTTCCTGGGTCTGGACCGCTGCTTCTTGTTTTCTTAAGTTAGGGGAAAAATATTATTGGCAATATTGAATTATACCTCTCCTGGATAAAAAACAGAATTTTCCTATTTATTAATTAAATGGCATGACAGAATAAATGACACCTGAACACAGAGCAAAGGGAAAGGTGGATCTCCATGGACAAAATGTTTGAATAATCACTAAGCACATCATCTGTGATATACCAATCCACAGAAATACCATAACTTCAAAGGAATTCTGCTGGAATGACGAAAACTGTCATACGTTTTTATGAATATGTCAAAACAAACCTTAATATTAATTAAGTGCACTAACAATAAAAAGAAGAAACAAGAAGGGAAAAAAAAATTTATCCAGGCATAGTGGCACACGCCTGTAATCCCAATGGCTAGGCTCTGGAGGCTGACGCAGGAAGCTTGTGAGTTCAAAGCCAGCCTCAGCAACTTAGCAAGTTGCGCTAAGCAACTCAGTAAGACCCTGTCTCAAAATAAAATACAAGATAGGGCTGGGGATGTGGCTTAGTGGTTGAGTCCCCTCAGTTCAATCCCTGGCACCAAAAAAAAAAAAAGGAAAGAATTCTGCTTTGATAATACAATTTGATTTTCTTCCTTCCTGATATGCTGCTGAGCATTCTAAATCAAGAGTAAAAATCATCCTCTGATGGCAAGTATATATGTAATTCTAATATATTCCATATATTAGAATTTTCTAATATACTTTTATATATTAACATATATAATCTACACTATACCTAATATTTTATTATACTTCTTAGTACATCTGTAGTAATGAAAACTTCCCACGTTTGCTTTTATTTTTTAAGTGACCAATCTTAATAGTGTGAAGTGGACACTATTGTATACTTCTCAAGAATTCAGAAATCCTTATGAGCAGTGAAAAAAAAAACCATTTAGTTGTAAATTAAGCCTTTCAAGACATAAAATTGGTGTCTACCAGAAATGGGAAGAAATATAAAATTTCATCTGCTGAGGGCAACCATTTCCCATTTTATTTTTACTTTCATTTTAGATTTTTTGAGCCACCTGCACACCTAGCATATCAAAGGAAAAAACAATTGGTAGTTAAAATAAAGCATTTTTTCTAAGCACAAATTTATCTGCTTATAAACTCCTGCTGTTACTTCTATAATTTCTAGAATAAATGAATCAGTTCTTTTTTTTTAAGTTTACAACTTTCAATCTGTGAAAGATGGTGGTGAGACTGAACCATAAACACTGTTTTAAGTACATCTGTGACTTCTATCAATAAGTTGAGAAAAATGAAGTTATTAATAACATGACTAAAATTTGTTTTCCAAATTAAAATTCTGTTAAGTGGATGGAATCATGTTCAATGGTTTAAAACAAATTACTTTTTGGAAAATATAAACCTACTGCCCAGCATGAGGCAAATTCCTCTCAATTTTTCAGAACTCATTAACTCATTACTAGTGTAGCAAATTACAATGAATTAACTAATTGKAAAAAAATTTAGTGTCAATGGAAGTATAGGACCTCCAGTTTTCAAAAAGGCTATTTTGAGGCTGGGGAATGTAGCTCAGTGGTAGAGCACCTGCCTAGTATGCATGAGGCCATGGGTTCAATCCACAGCACGGAAAAACACACAAAACTATAGCTAAGTACTCTAACACACAAATAGTAAGCAATATGCTCAATACACATGAGATGAATGTAATGAAATTTGACAAAAAGTTTCTATAATAAGTAAAAGTTTTTTAAAAACTAAACAATATTAGGGAAAAATGCACTTTAAAAAATCAAAATGGACTGAGCCGCAGGGCACTATGGCTCATGCCTAAAATCCCAGCAATTTGGGAGGCTAAGACAGTGGGATCCCAAGTTCAAGGCCAGCCTTAGCAACTCTGTGAAACCCTGTCAATCAACCAACCAATAAATGGGTTGGGGATGCAGCTCAGTGGTAAAGTGACCCTGGGTTCAATTCTTTTTCTTTTTTTGGTGGTGCTGGCGATTTCCTGGGCTTAAGTCTTAAAACAAAACAAAACAAACAAAAAAAAGACTGAGCAAATAAAACATCAAAAGATTAATAGCATTTGACTAGGAACTCATCAGGCTACCTCAATACTTCTTCCCCCAATTATCACAAACTTTTAAAGCCAGTAGTACTTATTGTCTTAATAAATGTTTGAGATGACGATCTCTTAACTTAGAAATGTGTTCATTCTCATTTAATTATTATTAGTTTTATCTTTATTTTATTAGTATCTTTTTCTAAATAAATACATTTTACTTCAGTGTTCAGAACATGACAGAAACTTCTTACTTAGGCAAACACTCAAAAAAAGAGTTTCAACATGTGCAACACCTTTTTAGAAAAGTCCCATATTCACAACAGTAATTGATATGTAACCAAGTTCCTTCATTAACTTCCTTTTTGTTGTTGACGAAAGCTTTCCCATATAACTATTTGCTGTCATTTTCTAAGAATTGACATCTCTCACCAAAGACCATGATTAACTCCAATTACTTTTATCTGTAGCATAGCTACAGAAATTCTGCCAGATGATGATAACAGTAGGGACCATTACTATTTTATTAGGTGGCAGATGTAAAGCAAACATTTTCTGTGTGCTGCTCTCGTTTAATTCCTACAGTAATCCTGACCCGGATACTAATATTTTCCCCATTGTACAGATGGGGACAATGCCAGTCCAAGAGAATTAATAATCTGTTCAAGGATACAGGACAAAGTCAAAGGAAAGGGATTTGAAATACAGATTAAAATATGGATGGATCCTGAAATTCGGCCTTTCATCTTGAAACAGAAAAATAAAAATTACTACAAAATCTCTTTGAGGCACATACAGACTCACATCTAGAACAGACTAGAAACTGATAGCAGTATAACCTCCTGAACTAAGTCTCACAGGCCTGCAGGTGTAAACTGTCAAAATCTCATTGGAGGAATTCTTGGAAGTATAACTGGGTATTGCTAAAAAATTCCCATAATGGAGGAAGACCATCTAGCTCATTCCAAATTTATTGTAATAAGAGTTCTCTATATTTACTATTCGAATTTTCCCATATTTTATCTGAATATGGTCCATTAGCCCATTCACAAAGGACATGTGTATCTGAGTGGATATTTTCCAGCTAAAATAATTAATGGCATTTTCCCAAATATGTTAAATTGCAACCTAGGACATTTAAGGGATGAGGTAGAAATAATAATGTAAACTGATAAACAGAAAAGATGGTATTAAAAAAAAGTGACATTATTTTCATTATATTTTCTTACAGTTTCAATAAGATCCTTCTATTAAGACACATTTTGATTTAAGGATATTTTGATCCCTTTAATGAGATCCTTTTTAGGATCCTATAAATGAAGAGCAAAGTTTAGATATTAAACTGAATAACAGTTATTCAACTTGAACAACTTCCTTAGTTATTCCTAACTCCAAATAAGAATACATGAACTGCTTTTTGGGTCTCCAAATGGCACCTTGTATTGTCTAGCTGCAAATTTTTGATCTGTAAACCTTCATTTTTAAAAGCTTTTCAACTTTTTCTTTTCTAAAAGACAAGCATTGATAATTAAACTTAATGTCCACATTCCACATGGACACTGCAATACATAAAAACAAATATACAATATAAAAAAGAAACACACAAACTAAAAGCCCAGAAATTATCAATAAATGTTCTGTTTCCCTATTTGGATTCTGGGTCTAGTGAGAATTACTTAATGGCCAGGGCAACGGAGTCCCCACTACTGTTCTACTTCCTCATCTACCACTTTGAATAAACAAGTGTGGATAAATTTAAACTCTCCAAACTGCAACTGCCTAATTTGTAAAATTGTGATTCCATCTTTGTTATATCATAACAGTGCTCCATCAAAAAATTCCCTCAAGTTCTTTCTAGACTTAACGACATGTAATGCTAAGGTATTACCCTATTATTTTAATTCTTTTATAATCTTGCATTCTGTTTCTGCTCCTTGTTGTTAGCATTAATTTTAACTTTCCTTTTTCCTTTCCCCCCATTTAATATTAACAAGTGCTTGAGATTTTCACTTTGTTCTAAGACTGTCTAATGATTAAAAAAAAAAAAAAGAGCCTTTCCTTTTTAAGCATTCTATATGCATGAGTCTCAAATTCAAGTGCCTTGCAAGTAACACATATATGAACTGGCTACTGAGACAACATGAAGAAAGAGGCTTCTGGAGACTTAGAAAAGTACCCACATTTGCCTGAATACATTTAAATTAAAAAAAAAAAAAGTTTAAAAAATATTTTTAAAAAATTTGTTTTGGACAGTTTACAATTCATTCTACATGATCACTACAAAAGACTTTCAGCCAATAAACATAAAAGCCCATTTTTCCAAGTATAATTTTCATACTAAATACTACTGTTTCATTTTTCCCATCCAATTTATGACTTCCCCTCACCCTCAGTGAATATATCCATTAGATAAAAATAACCTTCCTGATTATAGAAATCATTGCTACATGGACATTATCTACCTTGAACCTTTCAGAAAAAAGTATAAATAATCACTCTGAGATAATTATTATCAAGCATGTGAAGGCACTTAGAAATGGGTTTTTATTTACTGAAAGCAAACAGCAAAACATTTTTCTGTATTCTGACTTTCTAAACTCATGTTTCCCAATCTCTGTTGCCATGCTTACCCTCCCACCCCTACCCCTCCATGGCCTTGCACAAGCTAGGTAAGTGTTCTACCACTGAGCTACACCCCTAGTTCCCCCCAGATGGTGACTTGCTGAATTCCCAGACTGGCCTCAAGTGATCCTCCGTCTCCTCAGGGCTGGGACGACAGATGCATGCAACTAACTGCATCTGACAGCTCTTGAAAAACAAAAACCATAGGTTGTTCTCCTCTGGAGATTGATACTTCACCCAAAAGACAAATCCTTCTTTTGGCAGGCAATATATTCAGTCTATATTGTGTTTTCACATTGAATCTTTTTTGTTTTACTTTTATACTGTCACTTATATAATGGACATGTTCATTATTTAAATACAATTCTTAAAAAATTTTTTAGTTGTAGTTGGACACAATATCTTTATATTTTATTTTTTTTTATGTGGTGCTGAGGATCAAACCCAGGGCCTCGCATGTGCTAGGCGAGCACTCTAGCTCTGAGCCACAATCCCAGCCCTAAATACAAAATTATAAACATAATTTTGAAAATACATAATACCATTTAGAAATTATGCTATGGTCCCTAGGGGGATATGATACCCTCTTCTATAAAAAAACATATTTTTTACTGTATGAAAATATGCTCACTAAAGTAAAATAAGCCTTGAGGTAAAATTTTTTTTTGGTATGGGGGATTGAACCCAGAGGTGTTTCACCACTGAGCTACATCCTCAGCCCTTTTTAAAAATTTTTTCTRTTTTGAGAGAGCTAAGTTGCTAAAGGTAGCCTTGAACCTGCAATCCTCCTACCTTAGTCTACCAAGCTGCTGGAATTAGCAGGCATGTGCCACCACTCCCAGTGAGGTAAACTTTTGAAAGGACCAATATATGAAATGTGTTAGAGGTGCCTAAATGTCATGATTATAAACCTGAAAATAATCACATTAAATAAATTAACACTTCTGAAAACATATACTATGAAAAACTGGAAATTCACTGCTGAAAATAAAACTTATTTGGATGAAAAAGAATAAGACATTGTTGACTTTGGGGCTGTAACCTTACAAGTTGGAACACATTACCAGGACTTCCTGCTTCCATTTCTGACATGGTCTCTAGGCTTGTTAGGTCTTTATGAAACAGTCTTCTTACAGTTCTGCAGCCTCTTCCATCTTGCCACCTGTAACCATCTTCACTTTCTTGAAAGGCATCTTTCCTTGGTCTGCTTATGATAGGAATTCTAGGTCCAGGTTTAAACTCTCTCCAATTGTCTGAATTACCAGTAAGTTCATCAGATAGCCACCTCTTATTTTGATCTTTGTGGTTGTCATTCATCCAAGTGGGTTGACTGTAAATTGGGTTTTTAAATGCATATGGATTGCTGGAAACAGCGTATGATCCTTTTCTCGGGGTATTCCCATAGTTCCCAGGAGTTAGCTTTTTTTTCGTAAGGCCTTTTTCCATTTTACTGCTATGGCCTTTAGCATAATCATCCATTATTAAATAATCTTGTTGGGGGTGACCCCTTCTGAAATCATCATCATCGACAGGTCCTCGGTCTTTACTGCGCTTCACAATATAAGGTTTCGCTGCATCTCCCATGGTCTTTGACTTCAATTTTCTTTCTTTGCACCTGAAAGAAGGCATTTCAGGAAAACAACTAAATATAACAAGATATGATACCAAGTACACAAAATGCCATATCATATTGATGCCCCAAAGTGTGTAAGAAACCTTTCCTTTTTTTCTTTTAGTTAAATTTCTATCACATTCCTAATAATCAGTGCATTGCATTAGAAGTTAGGAGACACAGTCCTACAATCATGGGATTCGTACCTAGTATTTATTATGAAGTCTAAATCTGTGAATAAGAAAAGGCTCCTCTAATCCGGAAAACTATTATAGTAAAACGTTATATCACATTGTTAAGCTTTACTTATACACAAAAGCGCCTCTCTTCAAAGAAAACTTCAAAAGTAAACCTCATCCCAAGCCAATACTGCTACAGAACTCCTGAAAGTCTATTTTTTTAAGTTGGCAATTACTTTAAAGTGTTACACAAAGTAACCAAAACTTTATGTAAACAGACTACATTTCCTCTCAACTCCACTCTAGTTGCTTCATCACATTGCAGAACAGACCGGCTTTGATCTCTTGGGCTACAGAGGGGCTGGGCTCCGGACTAATGAAAGGGACTGGGTTTCTGACCAAAGGACAACTCCAGAGAACCGCCCCATTTCTCATTCTTCAATACTAAACAAGTTTGGTTTTGTCACTAACTGCAATTCTCTAAAGAATGCCACGCCTTTTCGATTCCTGTCTTGACTGCCCCACCCCGGTCTGCCTCAGTTTCCACCCCTGACCGTCCGAAATGTAAAAGTAGGAGGCGTACCCGCAGTCCCGGCCACGAAGCCACCGTGGGGACCAGGAAGCAGGAAGTGACCCGCCACTTCGATGGGATTCCGGGGTCCCCCCAGCCGCCAGGGGGCCGGGTCCGAGTGTCTCGACCCAAATCTCTTCTCCCACCCTCGCAGAGTCTGACACAAAGTGAAAAGGCGGACTCGAACCCGAGAGCTCAGTTCTAGCCGGCCTGGAGGATCCCTAGACACCGAAACTGGACTAGGAGGCCGCCTCAGGATGGAGCCAACGTACCTATGGGGCCAGGCCCGACCTCTACTTTGGAGACTAAGGAACCCACGAGAGACCCAGCCCGGAGGCGACTCTAGGAGGGACACAGGGAGAAGGCGCCCCAGAGCACTCACCACCTCCGCCGCGGTCCCCCGCCTCTTCCTGTCCCAGCTGGGCTCCCTCTCCGAGTTTTCCTTCGGTCCCACTTCCGGCGCTCAGCGCTGTCTCATTGTGCGCGATTGGGAGCCGGCTGTGCCCCCGCCCCGGCGCTCCGCCGCGCACGCCGGAAACGCGCGCCGCGCCCGGAGGGCCGCCCTCCGCCCCGCCCGCCGTCGCCCCGCTGCCGGGCCGCCCACCGTCGCCACGGCGCTCTGCCCCGGGGTATGGGTTATCAAGGCCAGCCCGGTTACGCCCCTCGGCGCCCGCGGGTTGTTCGCCCTCTACCCCGGCGCGCGGGCAGGGCCTTCTCCGGTGAGCAGTGCCCGGGGCTCCCGGGTTCCCCTCTTGATTGTGGGCGCTAAAAGCTCGGGGTAGGGTGGGGGAAGCAAGGGGAGCCCAGTCTCCTGCGATCTGAGGGTAGTCGGCACTGGGGGACTCAGCTTTGCCCCTGGATGCTACTCAGTAACTTCTGGGGAAAATTGAGCCAGCTTCTTTCTATTCCTATTTTCCTGATAATTCAGAGTGACTTAACGTTTCCATGAGGTCTTAATTGCGGACCTGGTAAGGTCAGTTTAAGCATCTAATGTTCACCCACAGTTTAATGTGGCCCAGGGGAATGCTCTGCTCTTTCCTAAGGTTGTGACCCTAAGAGAAGATAAGAACAAAGTGAATTTTGACGAACTTGGTCTTAAATACCTGGTGGGAGAGTATGGCCAAAGCACAACCATATGTGGACATTTAAAAAGAAAGATAGCCCGGCATGGTTTACTTTTAAGAAAAGTCATTTTTAGAGAGTGAAAGTGATCAAGTTATATCTATGTGTGAATATTCCACAGTGAAACCCACTATTCTGTACAATTATACACCTATTAAAAGTCGTTTTGAAAAGTATGTGTGGTGGGAAAGGATGATCAGGGAGGGTCAAATTCAAACTATTATTATTATTTTTTTGATGCTGGGAATTGAACCCAGGGACGCATACCACTGTTGAGCTACATACCCAGCAATTTTTTTTTTTTTTTTGACCCAGTTCTGCTAAATGGCCCAGCCAGCCTTCCAACCTGGCAATCCTCCTGCTTTGGCCTCCTGAATGGCTGGGATTCACAGGCCTCTGCCTCAGGGCTAGTTCAAATTCAGATTTTTGAACTGAAGAATGTACACCTTGAACTAGCAAACAACTAAGGGTTGCCTCCACTCCCCCCCACAAAAAAAAACATTGGTATTATCCTCCTTGCTACCTGGGATGTTCTGAGTGTTTTAAAAAAATCAAAATTAATAAAATTAGGGAGTGCTGGGAAAATAGGACAGCTTATTTGTTCATTTTTCTAGAGCTTTTAAATTTAAACCCATGAGGTTCTGTTGAGGCAAGAGTCTAAATCGGTAAAATATTGGTTATTGCCAGACATCTTTGAGAGCTTTACAAATATTAACTCATTTAATCATCCTCACAACAACTGCATTAAGAAAATATCATTATTCCCACTTTAAAGATGGGGAAACCTCTGAGTGGGGTGGGGCATGCCTGTAATCCTAGAAACATTGGAGGCTGAGGCAAGAGAATCAAATTGGAGGCCAGCCTCAACAATTTAGCAAGACCTGTCAAAAAGGGCAGAGGATATAGTTGGGGTAGAGTGTGAAGGATATGAAATATAACCCTCAAGGAGAAAGGAGGACAGTTTGTTTGGGGGAGCAAACAATGATCTCTGAGCTCTGGACATTCATTCACCCTTTCCCAGCAACAAATGATTCAAATCTTATTTTTTGGAGGGGGGTGGATACTAGGGATTGAACTCTGGGGCATTCGATCACTGAGCCACATCGTCAGCCCTATTTTGTATATTATTTAGAGACAGGATCTAACTGAGTTGCTTAAGGTCTGGCTAAATTGTTGAGCTGACTTTGAACTCCTGATCCTCCTATCTCATCCTCCCAAGCTGCTGGGATTACAGACCTGTGCCACCTTGGCTTTCAAATCTCATTTTTATGGGCTGGGGATGTGGCTCAAGTGGTAGCGCGCTCTCGTGGCATGCGTGCGGCCCGGGTTCGATCCTCAGCACCACATACCAACAAAGATGTTGTGTCCGCCGAGAACTAAAAAATAAATATTTAAAAAAAAAATCTCGTTTTTATGAATCAAAACTTACTCAAACCCTGTAAAAAAAAGAAATTAGACCCCTCATAATCATTTGCCATTTTTTTTCTTCTGAAAAAATGTGCCATTCTGTTGCTTAATAAAGAAAGCTTGCTTTCCATTGAGATCTGGTCTCTGATTATTTTTGCTTTCCTCAGTATAATTAATAAATAAAGATGGGGAAATTAGCACTTAATGGTGAAGTAAATAGCACAACTGGAATCCAAACTCAGATTATCCTGAGATGTCTGTTCTTAACTAGGTGACTATACTATGGTGATTTTAGGCACATTCCTACAACTTTGCTGCAATTCTTTATTTAGATGTTTTGGGACTGCATGGTGGCACACACTTGTAATCCCAGCAGCTCAGGAGGCTGAGGCTGGAGGATAAGTTCAAAGCCAGCATCAGCAAAAGCGAGACAGTAAACAATTCAATGAGACCCTGTCTCTAAATAAACTACAAAATAGGGCTAGGGATACAGCTCAGTGATTGAATGCCCCTGAGTTTAATCCCTAGTACCAAAAAACAAAACAAATCAACCCCCCCCCAAATGTTTTGGTTTTGAAAATTCATGGGAATAAAACTAATAATCTTTTTGACCAGCAGGCAGTAGCATTTAGCATAGAGTAGGAAGGGAGTGTGGTGATACATGATTGTATTATGGGAAAATAGCATTACCAGTCAGGTTAGTACTTCCTATTCGAAAGAACTGGTTTAGGTAAGTCYATCTTGATTTCTGAATTCTTGGGAACCAAAATAGCAAACATCTTTTTAAGGATTTAGAATAGTTCATATTTGCATTTTCTTCAATGCTTTGTCCAAAGTATAACTTCTCATAAATTAGCTGATTTTAAGATTCATCTTGAGGATATAATACTAATTGAAACACTGGCAGTAGAGTTACTTTCTTGTGACCTTTTATACTGTAAGAGTAATTTAAATTGGTCAGTGGAAATCCTTAAATCCAGTTGAAAAGTTTGGAATTTTCTTTGATGTCATTGAAAGGAGGATTGAGTTTCTCAGAATGATAGCTTCTTGTTCTACAAATATTTTCAACAATTTATAGTAGAAATGTGGGGACAGAGGTTGTTCTCTGGTTGGGAGGTAGCGATACTGTTGTTACCAAAAGCATGATCATTGTCCCCAATGCCAGTTCAATAAAAAGGACACAGTTTTGAGAAAAAGGAAAACATTTTTATTGCTTTGCAAGCAGAGGAGAAATACCAGGACTCCTGTCCCAGAGGCTGTGGTTCTGCCCATCTAGGGGAACTGGGGTTTTTAAAGAACTGAATCAAAGGCTACTTTCCTTGTGTAATTCACTTGTTAATTTGAGAGAGAGTCATTTCTTGTATTTTTTGGTGCCATCCACAAGTCTGAATTACTTTGTTCCTGTGGTGGGTGTGTGCTCAAGGACAGATAACTGCAAAAGTGGAAGAAAGATAATCTTGTCCCATCCTGTGCCCCTTCCTGCCTTCCCAAGATTAGGGTTGGGAAGAGATTAGGGAGGAGAAGTGACTGAGAAAGGGGAAGAAACATGTTCCTTTTAAAAATAAGTTGCAATCATGAAATGGTGCAACCACTTAGGAAAATAAGCTAATAGTTTTTTTTAAAAAGATTAAATATTTACCTATCATGGGAAAAAAAATAAGTTGCAGTGGCAGAGCATAAAATGAAYCACTGTTACATTTCCTTATTTTGTATTTTATTTAGTGATAGGATCTCACTGTGAATTGCTTAGCACCTCGCCATTGCTGATGCTAGCTTTGAACTCATGATCCTCCTGTCTGGCCTCCTGAGATGCTGGGATTATAGGCCTGTGCCACCTTGCCTGGCCCTTACTGTCACTTTCTACAATTCCCTTTTTATGGCAGTGACATCTCTGAGCTACTTTCTGTGTGAATTTGGGGGAAGTGACCTGAAGTTCTTGTTCTCTATCTGGTGGGACAGTTAAGTGTATATTCAGCATCAGGGCAGATCAGAGGTCCATGGTGGCAGTTGGTAAGTGACTGGACAAAGTTTACATAGGACAGGGATCATGCTAGGACAATAATAAAGATTTCAAAGTATTATGTTTGGGTGAACAATTAACACAAAAGCAATTAATATTTCTGCCAGTCTCTGAAAACCATAAACAAGTAACTCATAATCATGTCAATGAAAAACAGATCAAGTTTATCTATGTAGAAGGTTAAGAAGATTTGTAGGTCTATGAGATCAGGCTCAAATTGACTCAGGATAAACTTGTGACTTTTGAGTCTTTCATGATCATTATTATTAGGCATTCCCACACAAGAACCCTTCCTTTATAGCTTCCAGATTTACTTACTTTTGGTAGCGTTGACAGAAGTGTACATCTGAAGTTACATTAAAAAAATTATCTTTCCGTTTATGCATTTAGGAACAGGGATTAAACCCAGAGGCTCTTAACTATTGAGACATATCTCCAGCCCTTTATTATTTTGAGGCAGGGTCTCACTAAGTTGCCTAGGGCCTTGCCAAATTGCTGAGGSTAGCTTTGAAATTATGATCCTCCTGTCTCAGCCTCCCAAGCTGCTAGGATTACAGGCATGTGGCACCATGCCTGGCTGTCTTTCTTTTTAAATGTCCACATATAGTCGTACTTCAGTCATACTCTCCTGCTAGGTGTTTAAGGCCAAGTTGGTCAAAATTCACTTTGTTCATATCTTCTCTTAGAGTCAGTGATCTCAGGATTCCTTAGCAATCATTCTTGGGGACATAGTATTGCCACAGTCTGGCTGCAGCAAAATAACGGCGGGGGGGGGGGTGTGTGACAAGCAACTTGTGTACATTGATACAGCAGGAGTGGGAGCCTTTTACTGTAGGACAGGAGGGGTATGTATACATTCCACACAGCTTATCTTAACATAAACTAGATACAGCAGTCAACCAATAAGGAATCTCCACACTTAATGGCTCACTGGCCTTACTTCACAAACCRCTCCCTCTAGCAAAATGCCAGGCGCCATCTTGACTTGTTTACAGACTCTAACATTTCCCCCTTTTGTTTAATTAATTTTTTAAAGAGAGAGAGAGAGAGAGAATTTTTTTAATATTTATTTTCTAGTTTTCGGCGAACACAACATCTTTGTTTGTATGTGGTGCTGAGGATCGAACCCGGGCCGCACGCATGCCAGGTGAGCGTGCTACCACTTGAGCC